TGGCTAATCCCGTTATGGTCAAGAAACCCGATTCTTCCTGGCGTAGGTGTGTGGATTACAAGGATCTCAATAAACACTGCCCTGAGGATTGCTATCCTCTTCCTGCCATTGAGCAGAAGGTCGATGCTATCTCGGGGTACCCAGTACTTAGCTTTCTGGATGCGTATAAAGGGTACCACCAGATCCTTATGCACGAAGATGATACTGAGAAGACTGCCTTCGTCACTGAGAGGGGGATGTTCTGTTATGTCAAAATGCCATTCGGACTCAAGAATGCAGAGGCCACCTATCAACGAGTGGCCAATCGTATCTTCGGAGGCCAGCTGGGACGGAACATAGAGGTTTACGTGGATGACATGGTTGTGAAAAGCCGTAGGAAGGACCTCGTGGTTGAAGATCTCCGGGAGACCTTCCAGACCCTCAGGGCATCCAACATGAAGCTGAATCCAAAAAAGTGTGTATTCTGCGTCAGATCCGGGAAGTTCCTGGGCTTTCAGATTTCTCGGAGAAGAATCGACGTAGACCCTACGAAGATCCGAGCCATTCTAGATATGCAGGCCCCGCGTTCCGTCAAAGAGGTACAAAAGCTTACGGGCTCGATCGCAACCTTAGGACGGTTCCTGCCGAAGGCGGCCGAACGGAGCTTGCCTTTCTTCCAAGTCCTCAAAAAGTCTGATACCTTTGGCTGGACTGAGGTGTGTCAACAAGCCTTCATCGAACTTAAGGAACATTTGAAGACTCTTCCAACCCTGAGTATGCCGGACCCGGGGGAAACTCTGATTTTGTACCTAGCCATAGGGGAATCTACCGTACGTGCAGCATTGGTACGGGAACATAGGGAAACGCAGATTTCCGTTTACTACGTCAGTAAGGTTCTCCTCCCCACCGAGTCTCGATACATTCCCACAGAGAAGTTGATATTCTGCCTTGTGACCGCGGCCCGGAAGTTGCGCTCATATTTCCAGGCGCACCCAATCCTCGTTCTTACGGACCAGCCCCTACAGCAGATTCTCCGAAGATCTGACGCGTCAGGACGGATGACTAAATGGGCTGTGGAACTCGGTGAGCATGACATAGAGTTTCGGCTCCGAACTTCAATCAAGAGTCAAGCCCTGGCCAATTTCCTCGTCGAAGTTCCCTGAGGGATGGAAGCCGCGGTTGACGAATGTCCTCAAGGCCCTCAAGACACTCCCTATATTCCCGCCGGATCGCAAGGTTGGACGCTGTTCTTAGACGGATCTGCTTCCAAGGAAGATTCAGGTACGGGTGTGGTTCTGATCGATCCCCAGGGGTCAAAAATTGTCTATGCCACTCAGCTGGACTTCCCCACCACGAACAATGAGGCCGAGTATGAAGCGCTAATCGCAGGACTTTCAATTGCCCGTGCCCTCGGAGTTCAAGAAGTGTCGGTCTGCAGTGATTCCCTGGTGGTCGTCAATCATGTCCTCCAGCTGTACGAAGCACGGGAAGCAGCCCTCCAGAAATATCTTCAAAGAGTCAGGGTGCTGGAGTGCGGCTTCCGCGTCTTCCACATTCGGTATGTACCGGGGTCGCAGAATAAGAAGGCTGATGCCCAAAGCAAGCTGGCCTCTTCCCCTGCCGTACGCTTGACCCAGCAGATCCACATGGAAGTCAGGACAAGCCTAAGTATTCTGGACGATGAAGTTTTGCCCGTGGTGATTGACGAAGCCTCTTGGATGACGCCCTTTGTTCAGTACCTCCGAATCGGGACATTGCCACCAGATCCAAAGGAAGCCCGGAGGATTCGGCTCAAAGCACCAAGTATCTGCTCAAAGACGGCATCCTCTACAAGCGGGGGTATTTGACTCCTCTGTTGCACTGCGTGGGACCGCGGGAAGCTGAAGTCTTGGTGCGGAGCATGCACGAGGGCGCTTGTGGGGCGGACTTGGGTTCACAGAATCTGGCCAAAAAGTTGATCCGCGCCGGGTATTACTGGCCTACCCTGTCCAAAGATTGTTACGACCTTGTCGTTCGGTGCGTGCAATGCCAAAACATGCTCCCGTTCCGCGCCTCCCCCAACATGAGATGGTCCCAATTACCAGCCCTTGGCCTTTCTACAAGTGGGGCACGGACATAATAGGGCCCTTCCCCATAGCCCCGGGCAAGCTCAAGTTTGTGATCGTCGCAATTAATTATTTTTCTAAATGGGTCGAGGCGGAGCCTCTAGCCTCCACCACAGGGGCGAATATGGTCAAATTCTTCTGGAAGAACGTAGTCTGCCGGTTTGGGATCCCGAAAGTCCTCGTCAGATTTTTTCATCTTGGTGTAAACAGCTAGGGATCGAGCAACGGTTCTCGTCCGTGGCCCATCCTCAGGCCAACGGGTTGGCTCAGAACATAAACAAGGTCATCCTCCAAGGCATGAAGACACGGCTAAAGAAAGCTGAAGGGCTATGGCCCGAGGAGCTGACACACGTCCTCTGGGCCATCCGCACCACTATGAGAATGGCAACAGGGGCGACCCCTTTCAGCCTCGTTTATGGTATGGAGGCCGTCCTTCCAGCCGAAATCGAGGTCTCCAGCCCCCGGGTGGTCAACTTTGCAGAAGAAATGAACAAAGACGAAGTCCGCCTGTGCCTCGATTTCCTGGACGAACGTCGAGACCTGGCCAAGACCCGCGAAGCCAGATACAAGCAGATCGTGGCCAAATACTACAATTCCAAGGTTCGGGCTCGGGACTTCAAAGTCGGAGACCTTGTCCTTCGACGAAATGAGGTAAGCTACGCCGAACCTACCGGTAAGCTAGCTCCAAATTGGGACGGGCCGTACCAGGTTGTGGAAGTTTCTCCCTCAGGAAGTTATCGTCTGCACACGTGCGATGATGAGCCCCATGCCATACCCCGATGGTGGAACATCCAGAACCTGAGAAAGTTTAATATTTAAAGACCCCTGCCTGCTTTTGTAATAGATATTAGCCGAGGAAAGTTCCGGCACTTTTGCTGACTATATAAAACCTCCCGTGCCTTCATACAAGCGCCATTTACAAAGCCGTCTCGACCCCAGTGGCCGACGGCACCACGTGGCCTCCGCGGCCTACGGCACCCCGACGGTCTCCGCGACCTTGAGGCATTTACAAAGCCGTCTCGACCCTAGTGGCCGACGGCACCGCGTGGCCTCCGCGGCCTGCGGCACCCCGACAATCTCCGCGACCTTGGGGCATTTACAAAGCCGTCTCGACCCCAGTGGCCGACGGCACCGCGTGGCCTCCGCGGCCTGCGGCACCTCTATGGTCTCCGTGACCTTGGGGGAATTGCATGGCCGCCCCAAACAAAGTGCCGTCACCCGGCGCCCGCGGATTATAGAACCTGGAAGGCCCCCACGACCTTCTGTCAGGTACGATTCAACAGAGCACCGACTAATCATTATAACAACAGTAATACGGCTGAAATATGAAATCTGGGGGAAGATACTCATATCGCCTCCGTCAAACGATAGCAACACGTTGGCAACAAAAAGAATTTCATATACACAACCGTAAAAGCATGAATAATAATAATAAAACGAGTAAACAAAATAAATAAAGAAGTCGGAGTCGATGTTCAAAAAAGGGGGTATAAATTTTCGAAGACATAGCCCTCAGATCTATACACTTGACAAAAAACACATGAATCACTTAACCTAATCACACGTTCTTAATGAGACCCCCAACCCAACTCGAAAAACAGAGCGTCATTCTCATATATCAAGCGCTCGGCCTCACGACTTGGAGAAGTGGGTTCGTCTCGCATAGCTGGACAGGGTTCGGGCCACAATGCTTCAAAGTCATACTCCTTCCCCGTCTCCACTATGAAGGATATCGCGCCCTCCAAAGCTGCCCGAAGCTTACCAGCATATGCCCGAAGAGCTTCAATCTTGTCAGAGGACCGATCTCACTTCACGGCAACCAAGGCATAAGCCTTCCGGAAGTTTACTAGCACGCCCTCAAAGTAGTTACGGGGGATAAAATCTTCCGGGTAGGGTTCGGCTAAGCCCTCGTCCTTCTTCTTCTTCCTTAACTTGGCTTCGAATGTCCGAAGGCGATTGTTAGCCAACATCTCCAATTGTATAGAATTCTTTAGATTGTCTTCCCAATAAGCCTCTGTATCCCGCCATAACTTGTCCAACCGGTTGTTCTCGGCCTTCGCCTCGAGGATGGCCTTACGTGCCTCGTGCAACTCCGAGGCCCTAAAAGTTTGCAAAGCATCTTCGAGTTGCCCTTCGAGACCTGACAGTCATCCCCGGCCCCTATCAACGTTCGGATCCGCCAAGGTGCTTCCTACGGCCGCGTAAAGTGGAAACGTCGTCGGGTCATGGTGAGGATCGGGCAACTGCAAGTCGATCCACGGAATCCCTGAAGTTTCCCAAAGACCCGGGGTCGCGGGCACCCCTCGAGAGGTTCCGTCAGGATGAGAGGGGAAGTCCGAAGCCGCGTCCTTCCCCTGTAAGGAAGCGCGTGTTAGCAACAAGCTTTAGGGACGCGCATTCCCAAAGACAAAAACAAGTTTGCACCGAGGAACAGGTGCTTATATAGACTTAGATTTTTGTTGAGTAAAATAGACACAGTAATAAATCCGAATGCGCGAAACGGGAGTCGACGAAGAATAAACATAAACTTCATTTCTAATTGATTAGAGTTCAGATACAACAGGGAAAGCCCCGGAGACACGACTACTAGGAATCCTAACCCTACGCGTCGTTCACCTTGTCTCTGCTGCGGGCGTTGGAGTCCGTTGACATCTCTTCTCCTCCTCGGCTCCCGGAGTTGTATCCTTGGGGTGGGGGCGCGGATGCAGCTACCTCCGGTTCCTCATCTGGCCCCAGTGGCGTGCTTGGAGGTGTTTCTGTCCCCCTCGGCATCTGGAAGACGAACGAGGGATTGTCCGGAATGTTCAGAATGTCCTCGGGCTTCGATACGGAGGCACAGGCTCCGGAAATCTGCTGCATGATAGGGAGACTGGCAAAATCCATATCCCGAAAGTGTTCCCGGGCCTTGCACCGCAATCACACCGCGGATGTCTTCCCTTTCTTTTCCCTGTCAGCGTACTTTTCGAGGATGGGCTGGATGTCCTCGTTCTTCTTCTGGGCCGCCTCGATTTCCAAGACGACCTTCCTCGCCCCTCTTTCCATAGCAGGGTCCATAACGTCGTCTATTCCGAGGGCGAACTCGGACGACCCCAGGTACCGTTGGACCCCCGCTAGAATGTACGTGTCCAGTCGGGACTTCGGGACACTTGTGGCCAACAAACTCTCCATTTGATGGCGGTGGGTCAGCTCCACGTCCTCAAGCTGTGCCTTCATCCTCGTAACCTCCTCCTCCAGGTGCCTCCTCTCCTCTTCCAGGCGTACTCTCTCCCCTTCCGAGGCCTTGAACAGGACCTCCGCCTCTCTGGCCCTGTTGGCCTCACTCGCGGCCGTCCTCCGGGCCGAGGCCAGCTGCTCCTCCAAGCCCGTGCACGCGGTCACAAATAAGTTGACTGCCTGCACGGCCTGCATGAGGGGCATCCTAGGTCAGCAAGGAAACGCATGTTGGGTTTACGAAGGGAGGACCCTTGAAATAAAAACAGAAGATCTCACCTGTCTCATGCCGTCCTCCAGCCTCGGTACCCCGGCCTCGGGTAATTCCGAGCATTCAACCCGAGGAGAGTCGAAGGTTAGTAGGGTGTGGCCCGCGGGTACATCTTCAAATAAATCGGTTCCCCGGCCCGTATCCGCGTATCCCTCCTTCAGAAGGTCGTCGATGAAGGATAACTCATGGATCGCTGGGAGGCTGAAGGACAGTGGATCCACCTCCACAACCTCCGGGTCTTCCCATTTCCTCTTCAGGTGCCCTGAGGGTTGGCCCGAGGAGTTCCCCCTCCTGGAACTCTCGACAGGCATCCTCGTCATTTGCCTGGAGGACGCTGCCCCCATCTCAGGCGGGGCGACCCCTTGTGGCCTTTCTTCGGCGTACTGCTCTTCCTCGTCTGAATCATCAAAAGCCGAATGTTTGCCCATCAAATTAGCAAATATACCTATCAACAGAAAAATAACCAGAGTTAGTATTTGGGTAAAATACCTTGATTACGAGAGCTGATCCGATCCCTTAACGACGCGATCTGCTTATAGTTATAGGTCTTCTTCCAGCCGGCTAATTTCTCCAAGTCCCTCCTTCGGGTTTCGATATCTTTCTTATCCTTCTTGGTCCACGGATCTAAGCTAATTGTCCCTCCCTCGTCCGATGTCCACAGAAAAAGGGAGACGAAGTCCGCGTCCACATAGAAGAATCCCGACCTCCAGTGCTTGGAACTCTCGTTCTTCGTTACTAACTCTTTGGAGGGTCCATTCGGATTCTTGGTGAAGCTGAACCATCCGAGAAAGCTCTTCCTGCATCAGACGAGCTTGTAGAAGCACCTGAATAAGAAAATGTCTGGTTCTACCCCCGTCTTGTTGCACACATGCACGAAGGCCAGAACTATGGTTATAAGATTCGGGGTGTATTGGGCTAAGGGTCGGCCATAAGCCTCTACTATCTTCCTGAACATAGGCATCAAGGGGAAGTGCAATCCGTACTCCAAGAACTTCTCGTAAATCGTAATCTTTCACTGAGGGGGAGTGTTGGCTCTCTCATGGCCTTCGGGTAATGTGGGGTTTACGGCCGTAAGGCTGTAATGGCTCTCTAACTCACTCAGCCTGTCTTGGGTCAATCAACATTCTACGTCTTCTACCCTAACTACTTCCTTGGCCATCTAGTAAATCAAAGGAACAGGAAAAGAAGGAAACTTACTTGCTTGTGGTCGGTTGAAATTTACCCATGTACAATCACCGGCTGTAATTTCGATCTCCGAGCAGAGAAACGCCCTCGGTTACGAAATAGAAGAAAATGGAGGAGAGAAAATAGGACTTTAGTGTTGACGCTTGGAAGAGAAAATGAGGGAAAAGAAATGAAGTCTTGTGTCCTGTGGGGGGTATATACGCTCCTAAGGGAGGCGAACAGTCGCCTCGGTTACCATCCGGTGCCATCATTGCGGCGCGTCATTCCGTGAAATCCTGGGCGTCCATCCCGTTGGGACGTGGAAGATCCCGACCGTTGGATCCATAGCGGTAGATGGAAAGAAGATTCTAGATGGTGGGCTCTTTTGATTGGGCCTCCGGTTTCTTTGTGTCAAGCCCAATCCGACTCTACTACATTGGGCTTGACAGGGGCATTTGTTGGTGGTCATATCTGACCTACCTGGACCGGCCCAATTGGCCCACTGACTTGGGTTCTCCTGGTCAGTTCATATCAGGTACTCAATTCCTTTTTGGGGCCCAACCAGGTCCAAAGGACCTATAAAGCGGTGTAGTTACTCTTATGCCCCTTCTGACACAGGGGCCCACAGGTATTATCCTATTGGGGACTTATAAATACACCTTGTTCATTTATTGCAAAGGAATTCTCCACACTCTCGTTTTCTCTCTATAAGTGTGACAATAAATTACTTCTCTCTCTAGAACTGACTTGGCCTTCGGAGTGCTAACCTCCTTTTTGCAGGTTCCTGTCTAGGTCGGACCGTTGACTCCGTCCCCGGGATTTATCCTCGATAGTAATAGTTCACAATGAAGCCCAAATAGTACACTTATGATAGTGTTTCATAATATGAATACACTTTTTCATTTTCAATAAGACACTTTGTAGCAAATGTCCTAATACACATATAATAAGACACATTTTAGGAAAAGTGTCCCATCATAAAGGTATTAATAGCTCATTTTTATTGTAGTGGTATGTGGCTGTGTGTGTGTACTTATATGTCAAACATCAGTTTGCCACTAACTGGAAACTTCATTTTACCCGATTTGTTGTCTAAGTACATGAGTACGAATAGTTTTTTTTTCTTTTCAATTTATGTTCTTGCTTTGATGATTCCGCTGCACATGGATATTCACGGGTATAAATTAAATTTTTTGTTGTTCATGTTTATTAGTATTATTTTGACCGATGAATATTATTTTGGCATCTTAGCATTATTAGGATCAGATAGAGAACTCAGATCTGCCATTAGAATTGCCGCTAAAACTTTTTTTTAAAAAAAAAAGGCTCCGTCAATATTCATATAGGGTGGTTACATCATGTGATTGTTACTGTTTACAATGCTTCCATCGATAGAGGTGAATAGGTGATTATGCCAACCATGTTCAATGATTCTGTAAAAAATTTTTGTTTTAAGATAGTTCTGATATGGTGATTATCTGTCTGAATGTTTTTCTCAGTGAAAAAATCATCTTAGATTATCTTTACCTTCTACCAAGTATGAACAAAAAGTTCACAATCCTTCTTCATGTTAGTGGACTTATCATGGCCTGGTATGTTACTTTATATAGTTCATTTATCAGGCTCAAACTTAATTGGAATGTCCACGTAAAAGTTTGTATTTAAATTGTTATGGTATTTATTCTACTATTTGATTTAACTTCAGAGCCATAACTATTTTTGGGACTCACTTGGTCTATGCCTATGGAGTTGTGTCCTCACTGCTATTGATCATTGTCAAGCTAATTACAAAGATATTTTTTGTAAAACCTGGGGAAAAGTGTAAGAAAAACAATGGTATTTCACTGACCGTTTCCAGGACGTCTCCAACAAAATCAAGCAATGGTGTAAGAAACTTTCTGGGATGTCTCCATTGATCGCATCCAAATGAGTATTTAACATTAATTTTATAGTTATATTTATTATTTTGTACTTTTTGCTCCTTCATATTGGTGAGTTGGAGCAACACTATACTTTGGCAAACTATAGTATTACTTTAATGTTTTTGTTCTTTTTCATTTTGGACCAAAAGTACTGAACTTTCATAATGTTGCTGTTACTTTCTGTGCAATTGATTTCTTTGATTGAAATGATGATTTTTGTTGAATGTGCACTAGGGGAATAGGAGCTGTTGTATACAAGGGCCAGAGGTTGGAAATAAAAGATTTTTAGGTAGTGAAATGCATATACATTTGTTATTAGATATGATGCATCGTGCAATGATATGTAGAAATTTGGTGGTGGAGGTCATCGAAATGCTAGCTTATCTATGCTATCCTCTGCTGAATTTGAGAAGTTGAGGAACCTTGGTAGTATTTGGCGTTGGTAACAATTTCATTTTATGGAGTTTTGGTGCACAGTTCGTCAATCTTAGTTTGATTTCGATCAGGCTCTGTTCTTATTTACCCAAGACAAAATTTAACGCCCATTGTAATACATATATTATTATAATAAAAATATTTTTGTTCTTTTTTGGACGATTTGTCCTTTTCATTTAAACAATTTAAAATACAAGTGGTCGTCCGGGCATCCGCCCGGGCCAAGCATCTAGTAAAATAATAGAGAAAAAACGTTCAGCTTCTAAATCTGGAAAGCATCCAGTTTCTCTAGTTCTTTATGATTTTCATGGAAATTTAGTTTTCTGTTCAGCTGCAATGCAAACGAGGAAAATATATTACGTGATAAATCAATGAATTTATCCGGAAAATTATATATCTATCTGTCAGGGGAAAAGGGAGCTTGAATAAAATGAACAAACAATACACATGTGACACTCTTTTTTATCCTTGCAATTCACAACATTTCTATTTATGAACATTTCTTTGTGACAACTGTGTTAATGCACATTCAATAAACATGTATATGTACATTTTTATCCTTGCAAATCAGAACATTTATATTTGGCAACTTTGTTAATGTATGAGGGATATCGCTACATGCAATTAGTACTATACAGTATTGAGGTAAACATTCAAGTATTAAACACACAAATAAAAAGTTGAGTAATAATTAGGGGAAGATCGGGGGCGGGGAGCATACGTATACCTCATCCTACGTACGGTTCATTCTCTACAAATTTACTCTATCGATTTTTAAGATGTATCATTATTGATAAAAAAAAATTATCGTCACTAATATAGTACTATTATTGGCTAGAAATATGCAAGTTGAAATGATTAAAAATAGTAAAATAAATTTAAAAAAAAAAACTAGAGTCCCATATTTAATTTTTTGACTTTGAATAGGAACCATATTCATTCACACCCATCAATAAATGTGATCAAAAAGTAATTGAAAGCTGTATACAGAGAACACTGATCAGCATCCAACTACAAAGTCCCAAAGTTTGGTACCCACATTAACTTACCTCCCAACTACCTTTCCTTACTACTCTTAACTCCTTCACCATAAATAAATACTTCTTCACATTTTTCATTCCAATAACACTTATCTCCAAAAAAACACACAAAAAGAAAACCATCCCACATCTCCAATTTTTATTTTTATTTTTTTAACCATGGATGAAGAACAACATCTTCTATCAACCGAGATTGTGAATCGAGGGATTTCTTCGACGGGTCCGGATGCCGGTTCGCAAACGTTTTCGGTGCGGGTCCGGAGACGATTGCCGGATTTTGTTCAGTCAGTGAACTTAAAGTACGTGAAGTTAGGGTACCATTACCTGCTGACTCATGGGATTTATTTAGCAACGGTGCCACTTTTGGTGCTTGTATTTAGCGCTGAAGTCGGAAGTCTGAGTCGGGAAGAGATATGGAGGAAGCTGTGGGATAGTACCGCGAGATATGATCTCGCAACGGTGGTTGCTTTCCTTGGAGTGCTTGTTTTTACGCTTTCGGTTTATTTCATGTCTCGCCCTCGTCCCATTTACCTCCTTGATTTTGCTTGTTACAAGCCTAGTGATGATCTCCAGGTATATATATTTTTTTGTTTAACTTAATCCATTTTGCTTCTTGATTTACTTGAATTATTTTTTTTAGAAAAAAAATATATAATTAATTGCATGTTATGGTGAAGTCATCACATTAAATGACTTAGTTTGAATAATAATTGTTTATAGTGTTTTAGTTTCTAATAATAATTCATTCCCTAGTCAACATTAAATTTAAGTAGAAAATGGACTTTTTTTTAACTTGGGACTAAGGGTTCCCCCAAAAAAAAAAGAACTTGGGACTAAGGGAGGAAAATTTAGGTTTATAGACAAAACATATTTTTATTTTTTAAAAAACTATAAATTGTATTTATAGAGGAAATTGGGACATGGGATCAAGCTGATCTCCTTTTTGGTGACAAAATATTACTAACTCTTTTTCCGATCATATACGTTGGCTAGCAAGGTTTTTGGCGCAATTCGATTAGCTTCTTTTGGAACTAAATTTTGGTGTTACCTTGTGGAAAGGATTAGGTTGGTTGTACAACAGATTAGGACGTTTGTTTTGCCAAATCAGCATAATTTTAATTACAAAAGAAGGAAGTCTTTTACATAAGCAAAGAATGAATAAATAAAGGTTTCCAAACGGTCAAAGGTTTGATCAGCATATATATCAGCTAATTACTGATTATATACGCTAAAGGATAGTAACTCTTTAAAAGTTAAAATTGTACCCGAATTAATTAATTTCTTACTACTTGTTTCTTTCACAAATTTTAAATCCATTCAGTAAAACATATACTCTCTCCTTTCAAAAATTATTATCCAGTTTAAACTAAAAATAAAAATCCAAACCGGTATTGGGCGGAGGCAATACTGTATTTAGGGATATTTTTAGAATAAACCATTGATCATGTTCATTAATAATTGCCAGGTGACAAAGGAGCAATTTATTGAGATGGCAAGAAACTCAGGGAAATTCGACGAGGCAAGTCTTGAATTCCAGAAAAGAATAGTGGAATCATCCGGGATCGGAGACCAAACCTACGTCCCAAAATCCATAATGTCCTCAGAAAACACAGCAACCATGAAAGAAGGACGCGCCGAGGCATCAACTGTAATGTTTGGGGCACTAGACGAATTATTCGAAAAAACGAGGATCCGCCCTAAGGATGTCGGGGTCCTGGTTGTCAATTGCAGTATTTTCAATCCGACCCCTTCACTTTCGGCAATGATCATAAACAAGTACAAAATGAGGGGCAACATTTTGAGTTTCAACCTTGGGGGAATGGGCTGTAGTGCTGGAATTATAGCATTGGATTTGGCTAGGGATATGTTGCAAGCAAACCCTAATAGCTTTGCTATTGTTGTTAGCACTGAAATGGTTGGTTTCAATTGGTACCCTGGAAAAGACAGGTCAATGCTGATTCCGAATTGCTTCTTCCGGATGGGTTGCTCCGCCGTGTTGTTGTCGAATCGCCGCCGTGATTATGCTCGTGCCAAATATAGGTTGGAACATATTGTGAGGACTCATAAAGGTGCTGATGATCGCAGTTTCAGGTTAGGTTGCTCATATCTCAAAAACTCATGATTCGCCTTATTATTATTATTTTTATTTTTTTGGCCTTATAATTATGTCTTTTGAATGAAATTAGTAAATCTTCAGCTTCGCTTCAATCATTTTCTTGCTCAAAAAGTTTAACAACATATTGTTTAGGAAGAATGAATTTCTTTAACTGTGAGCTACATGTGTTTATGTATTTCATGAAAATCAAAAGAACAAGAACTTGTAAAATGTGTCAAGGACTAAGAAGGGTCAACGGTTGTTGAATTGACAATTATCCAAAACAAATACTACTATAAAATAATTAAAGAACCGCGTTTTTAGGAATGAAATTAAATAAATTTTTAAATCTCGGCCGATTTCTTCATTTATTTAATGAAGTTAAAGCTTATGGAATTCCAAATAGTCAAAATGGAAGGATTAGATGACCAACGTCAAATTTTAGACCACCTTTTCTTTTACCAAAGAAGAGGGTGGACAAGACTTTCTTATGCCCAGAAATTAAGAATTCTTCATTTAGAAGAAAAGAATTATTTGTGTGGTGCGGAGATTTTAGAATTAAGATAGTAAGTGATGTTTATATTTTTTAGATTTTTAAAAGCCATTATTTTTATTCATTTCTTTAATAAAATTTTCAAACTATTTCTTCTGAATGAGCTCACTTTTTATTTCTCTCAGAAAGAACGAGAAATGCAATAATGAAAATGTTTCAAAAATAGAATTGTAAATGACCATTTTTGGTCTAGTCTAGTTCAAAAATTTATGCTGATAACATCACAACAACCTCAATAAATACATTGGGTCCAATTTCATCTGCCCACTTGATGTGATTCACGGGAAGTGCCTTTGACCTTGACAAAACTATAGCAACGTATGTAACGCATTAACTCCAAAATAATGTCGTAGTAATAAAAAATACATAGATATATACACTTTCCCTCCCTGAAAATTACCACTTGCATTCTTTTTTCTTCTTTGTTTCTTTTTTTTTTTTGTGCGACATAGAAAGTAAATTTTAATGACTAAAAATGATCATTAAAAGTTGGAAAACAAATCAAAACTTAATTTTTCACAATCGAAAAGTGAGTAACCCTAACATCGATTTTGTGAAATATTGATGCAGGAGTATATATCAAGAGGAAGACGAGCAACGATTCAAGGGATTGAAAATCAGCAAAGATTTGGTGGAAATAGGAGGGGATGCACTCAAGACTAACATCACCACACTTGGTCCACTTGTGCTACCATTCTCAGAACAGCTTTACTTCTTTGCGACTTTAATATGGAGGCATCTAGTTGGTGGCGGTGCTAAAAAAGGAGGTCAAAACTCACAGGCCAAAAAGCCCTACATCCCTGATTACAAGCTGGCATTTGAACACTTTTGTGTCCATGCTGCCAGCAAGACAGTTCTTGATGAGCTCCAAAGGAACCTCGAACTAAGCGAGAGAAACATCGAGGCCTCGCGAGCCACATTGCACCGCTTTGGTAACACTTCGAGCAGCAGCATTTGGTACGAGTTGGCGTATCTGGAGGCGAAGGAGAGGATCAAGAGGGGCGATCGCATCTGGCAGCTGTCGTTCGGATCAGGGTTCAAGTGCAACAGTGCTGTTTGGCGATCGATGAAGCGTGTGAGGAAGCCATCTCAAAACAATCCATGGCTTGATTGTGTTGATAGGTACCCTCCTCCTCCTGCTCCAAGAGCTTTGTAAAGCTGGTGAAGAAAAAAAAAGAAGAAGGTTTAAAACGTTTGATGATTGATGGCATTGGATTTCTTCATTCCTTAATTAGGTTTTGCTTTTTTTGGTTTAGTTTGATGATGTCTACACTTTCTTGAAACTTGAACAGTGAAAATGTAGAAATATCACTTCAATTATATTTGAAAAATCATACTACTGTGTAGTGTTGTGATTCCTATGTCTTTACTCTTTACACTCCCACTTGTGACTTCCTTGATTAATTATGAAACATGACTACCTATTGTATGATATTACACATTGTATTATGGTATTGTCTCCATGCTTTAATTATATAATGCTTGGAGTTAGCTAAAGACTAAATATGAGGAAGTCCTAAAAGAAAAACCCAAGCTCAATTACTCCTCCATGAAAATGTGGCTACTGCATATTCCATCCATCGAGTATATCATCAAAAAGATTAGTGTGAGTGCAGTGGCCAAGTCAGAAAATCATGAAGAATGGCCTAAACTCGCAAAAATAACAACTATTAACTTCCAAAATCCGGGCTTCAAAAGAAAAGGAGGGGGGGTGGTGTTCAAAATAAACTTTCAAAATCCAAAGTTGTACCGATCCAGTGTATTTGCTTCAAACATCAACCGAGGAAGTTGAAGACATCAAAAGCTTAATCATCATAGGAAACTCGCGCCATCAGTTGGAATGGGTTGACGGCTGATATCGATCCAAGTAGATGGTCGGATCTCCGTAGTCCCATGCAAATCCTCATAATTTTTCTGAATGTGTGAAAATTTTTCGTCTTGAGAGAATAGAAAACGATGCCATCATCTCCTCTAAACTTTGGGAAGATCTTGTTCCCTGCTCCTTCCACACTAGCCTTCACCATGAAAGATGTTTGATGGCTGACAAATACAGTTTTATCTCCCAAGTCTTGTATCATGTCCCAAGCCTTTCTCCTCACATCTAGCTTGCATATGCACACTTCTTTGCCCTTATACGCCACAAAAACACACGGGTGGCTGAAACCCGAAATATTCACAATCGCAGGAGTTAATATGCAGCCACGGGTGGCTGAAAAGCGACGCTTGCACTCGGGGTACTTTTCAGATTCAAAGTTAAGAATCTTTCCATTAATCCCAAATGCAGTAGTACACCCCATTACACAAAACAGGGCGGAGGCAGCCCTCTGGTGCAAAATAATAACAATTGAATTCATCCCAATCATCAACACCATTATGATCTACATCAGACTTCACATGGATCCGGATAATCTCACAATCAAAGGAAGTTGGCGGGCTTGAAAATGTCGTCACTTGATATTCAAAAATACCTAAAATCTGGATCACAAGCAACATCTATTGTTTCACCACTTGAAGGGTTGAAGAAGAATAATGCAGTACGTGTATTAACAATGTTTACGCATGCCATCAATAACCAGCCAAAACTCGCGGCGCAGATGATCCCGGATGGCATTTCTACCGGGGATTTGTTGATTGGGAACGACGTATTATGGAGAGGGTTCAACAACTTGACAAAGTTGTCCTTTCCAACCATCATCAAACACGGGGATTCAGATAACTTTCTCGCATTCGGAGATGAAATGTCTCTTAGGCCAAAATTACAAGGCACCGAATTCCATTTCTTACACACTGCGACAAACGTAGCTTTATCAACTAGATTGAGCCGACACATTATCATAAACAGGATGGTCTCTGAAGCTTTCGAAAATAGCCCTCGTTCCTCTGCTTCCTCTGCTTCATTTATCTGAGCTATTTGCATCTCTTTCTCTCGTACCATCTGAGTTTTGCGCCTTCTTTTAACGTGTTCCATCTCCAATTCCAGCTTCTTTTCCAGCCGAGGTATACCACAACGATCAACAAGGTCATGATAAGCTCGATGATGACGGAAGAATCTCTTCTCTTCTCTGCGCGCATCCTCAAAACTCTGTTTCAATTTTACATTCCTCTGGCTCCGATTCACAACAGCCACATAACCAAGTTCCAGCAGAATGATTCCTCCCGGGCATCAGTCCCCTGATCCATAATATCCAGCTTTGTTAAAACACCAAAAGTTCGGAACCGTCAGGAACAGCAACCCGAGCCATATGAAGGCCACCGGAGCAACCGGGAGCTCCAGCATTGGCAGCAATTACAGGCAGTATTATGCACTTTAGGGTGTTTGATATATGACATTATTAATCCGTTGATGCGTGTTTCCATATCAGGAGGACCATAAACGATCCCAGGCAAATCCCACAAAAGTGACATCGAAAACATACGGAGAGAAAATCTTCAGATGAATCGGTTCATCTGAGACACCCGACTCCCAACCCGCTACTCTAGGGGTCACGGCTTTAATCTCCTTTCGCATATCATCGAAATCCCAGAATTTTAATCCGGGCCGGTGAGAGAATTCTCCCCACTCATTGTCTCTCCTCCTATCAAACCTTCGATAATTATTTTTTGAATCGAGGGAGAAGAGCGTACCATCTTCCGGTTCTTTAAAAAAAAACATTGAACACACATCTGCTGTATGCGAGGAAAAATTATATTATATCCCACAATATTTTCGATATAGAGATAATGAAAATGAACTGTATAAGGATAATTTTATAAAGAAAAAAAATGATCACATCCATTCATTTCTTATAGTTTTCATTTGAGACTTATAAATTTACGGTCATGGTATAGATTAGATAATTAACACGTTATTTTTTGTAAGTTTTGCTCGTAATTTTTCTCTAGTTATACATCATCATCAAATCTTTGAATAAAGTTTGTATTTTTTCCAATTTGCAGGGAGTTCTCTGTCGTCCACAATAACTAATCTTCTTTATTAAACAATACACAATTAAATAGGTGAGACATCTAACTAAAAGAATTAAACTGATCTAGCCATGAATTGTTGCAATTTCCTCAGATGACCAACCTAAGATAAAGGGGAGATCTTTCCCTGTTCCACTGCCTATTCATTTATTGAATGCTCATATGGGAAAGTTAATTCATGTATCTAGAATAAGGTCCGACAAATTATTTCTTTCTCAACTCTTGAAGGCCCATATAAGTTCACATGTGGTTCCACCTTAAAATCAGTTGGCAATGAGAGGAGTTGCACATGAGATATATATGTTGTGTTTAAGAGTCTTCATCCATCCATGTGGGACAATGGAACATGAGGTCATTTCTTTCTTTCATTCATTTAACACGCCCCTCTCAAGCCCAATGGGCTTGAACGGGTAATTTTATGTTTTTTTTTAATTTTTTTCAGTCATGCGATCGGTTATCTTCCCGGATAAACCGTCGCCTGCCGGGCCAGTCAAAATTCAAAGTCAAACCCCGGATTTCTTCAGTGGGTTGACCAAAGTTTCAAAACCCAATCTGGGTCAGTCCACATCGCCCCACATGTCCCACAGGTCCGCGGATTAAAACCCACTCTGATAGCATCTTGAAGGCCCATATAAGCCCACATGTGGTTCCACCTCAAAACCAATTGGCAATGAGGGGAGTAGCACATGAGGTATATATGTTGTGTTCAAGAGTCTTCATACATCCATGTGGGACAATGGAACATGAGGTCATTTCTTTCTTTCATTCATTTAACATCAACCACTCAGGGGGTGCAAGCGCATTCACGCAGATTACAGTCGATAATTGCAAAAATGGCAAGGAAATTATAACAGTACTTGAAGACATTCGGGTATGGATTTTAACCTATCAAGAAGGGATAATTATTGTAGTCTTAGGAGAGGGGATTCGGATCACCTGTCCAAAAAATTCTAGTCCGGTTCATGTCCAGAGTAAAACTACGTATTTTAATTAAAATATTATCTCCTACAATTAAACAAATTTCTCCTTTTATTTTTGAACTCTCACTTATCGGCTCAAGCCCAGCCGACTTTTTTTAGAATTGCATAATTTTTTATCGCCTCTATCTTCTCAAAGAAAAAAAAAAAAAAAAAACAAGGCCTTTTCTGCTTGGTGAGCCATTCCGATTAGGTTCGAAGATTTCAATTTGCCAAGAAAAAAAGAAATCATGGTGCCAAAAGCAAAAGCAACTCTATCTATAAACATAGGGGCCAAAAAAGGGCTTTGGCCCCTACAATATGAAGAAAAAAATAAGGGTCAATTGCTTACGGTAGTTCTACTTATAGGAAAGATCATGAAAAGGGCAGAATTCATTTAGGATCCCGAGAACTTAAAATGGAATAAAGTAACATTTTCATACAAGTTCGAAGTCACACAAAAGCTTATTTTTGTTAAATAAGACTAAGAGAACTTATTTCCTTTAAATCAACTAGGATAATGAACTTCTTCTTCAAAAAGAAAAACTAGGATAATGAAGATTGAAAGTAATACTTAGGTGCTGGCTTGCCTTCGCTTCCGTAGGTTGTCACACTAGTTCTCCGTAACAATAAAAGGGATGGAATTATGGAGTTTTCCATTGCTCCATGTGATTGAACCATGTGCAAAAGTAAAAGCACCGAGTGATATATTTGTGAAAATCACATTATAGCTCAACTTTGTCAGGTTTTTTGTGAACTTCAACTCATTTGGACTCACTTTGATATCCAGGGCCTGAGATGTTTCAACACTTACTCGATAAGTTGATTCTTCATCCCCAACGTTCGTGACGGTTCTTTTAACTGTCAAGTATGGCTTCGGGTGGTCTTGTGATTGAACGACGACTATGGATGGGTAGTTCATGTTGGATATCATTTCTTCCTTAGAGTCGTCAGGGCAAGAAAAATTTGTCGGAAGCTTTGTTGAGATGCGTTTTATTCGAGATGCGTTGTAACCCTGATAACACAAGAAGCGCAAATACTCGACTACTTTTGTTTCATAGAGTAACCCTGGTTGGGATGGACCTAACAACGTTACTTCTCCCGCACCCATATCGTATGGAGTGGCTTCTTCAGCATGATAATGTACTGTAATCGGTTTCTTCAAATTGTTATATGGATTCGCTGCACATCAACACATATAAAAAGTTAAACATTTATGTTAACATAGTAATTTATTAAAATGATTTAATATATTCTCTATGAAATGCTTTTTCAAAAAATGTAATTATTACTTGTGGTCATGATAGCTGATTTGATTGCCGTAGGACCCCAAGAAGGATGTTGGGATTTGATCAACGCCGCGATTCCTGTAACATGAGGGCAAGCCATTGAAGTACCCGAGAGTATGTTGAAGGCTTCGTTTGTGTCATTGGAAGGCCATGCTGAGAGAATGTCAACTCCTGGTGCTACAACATCAGGCTGCATGAAACATGAAATGGCAACATGTTACTTATGCTTAATGATATGATTACAACGTATTCATCAATTTTTTTGGATCTCTGTCTGAAATGAGAAATTGTTTACTTCACCTTGATGAGGTAATTATCACTATAAACAGGACCTCTGTCTGAGAGGAATGCTATAGATGGAGCTGGCTTGTAGTTTGACACGACCATAGTTGGTGAAATAGTCAACGTAGGATTCCTAGAGATAGTATGAGTTTATTAAATAACGAATAATTATAATCAATCACCCAAAGAAAAATAATGCAATATTTGAATATAACCAGCGACCTATTAGAAACAAGAAAGGCCTACACACACAAGGACACACATATTACCTGGTGGAGTTCATATAAGCTCGGATTTGGTCTACATCCTGCTCAGAGATTGCGATCCGAGGAATAGAATCAGAAACTGAGTCCACTAGTTGCCCATAGATATCCTCATACACGACTCCAATGCCGCCCAGGCTTTGTACGTCGCTATATTGGCCATCTGATGTAGTATCCTGAAGGGTATCTTCACAAAGAACAAACTTCCCCTTGATTTTGTTCTCGTCCAATGCGTCCATATAACAATTACTGAAAAAGAAAATACCAATTAAAGAGTTATTTACTTTCTGAAAACTAATTAAACATCTATCATCATTAGCATTTAATTACTACGTACCTCGCTTCATCTTCATCAGCTCCTGGTTTCATAGCTGAACGACCATCAATCAATGGGTAGATAGGAGATTTCTCAAAATTGGATGTATGAGCACCTCCACCCTGATGGTAAAGAGGGAAAAATGGCAAGCGTTTACTTATTTTTATTGGTTTTTTCCAAATTTGATAATTTATCTTATAGGTACTAATACTTTTTTTTTTTTTTACCTTGATCACTTTGTCGTTTCCCAAGATAATATCAGTTGCAAAAAACCTATCAATAGTGGAAGCGCCTACGGTTAGAATCCAAGGAGCAACATTATTGAGGTACGGCGGATCCCCAGCCATGTGGACGTCTAAATCGCCCGAGGCCGCGACGACGAGGATTCCATTTTCAGCAGCATGAAATGCTCCGATGCTCATCGGATCTGTTATGAGATTACCAATCTCGTCGTAGGTACCAGAGGATAGAGATATAATATCAACCCCATCGGCGATTGCATCGTCAAATGCTTTCAAAAATTGAGAACCCAAACATCCATCATGAGTACAAACCCGGTACACCGCGATCCTAGCTCCCGGAGCTCCTCCCTGCGCGGTGCCACGAGCCAGACCGTGATATGATGCTCCGGCGACAGGTTTTCCGGCGGCAATGGCGGCAACGTGAGTACCATGACCATCATGGTCCCTTGGTGAATTAGGGGCTTCGTCTGTAACATAGTTCCTTGCTCCAATCAATTTCCTGATTCAAGTAAAATTAAGGAGCATGAAATACAACTTACTAAGTTCCAAAAGCGGTATCGTGGTATTCTGGATCATAGTACAAACTATTTGATCTAGATTTTGTGTTTTATAATACTATGTATTATATTCCTTCCGTCCCAAAATTATTGTCCAATTTTATTTTCAGTTTTAGTTTGAATTGTATTAAAAATTTCAAAATGACTAATAATTTTAAGACGGAGGAAGTATTATATTATCCATTGTGAAACTTATGAGTTACAATAAAGATAGCAGGCTTTAAGGGATTATATTATAATCACTAATTGTTACATCATGCACACGTTAAGTGTATCTAACTAAATTAGGTGTACTTAATGTACTTAATGTGTATCCCTGAGGTAAAACGAAATACTCCCTCCGTCCCAAAATTATTATCCAGTTTGATATTTCATTTTTAGTACAATTTGAACTAAAAATGAAAATCCAAACTGGACAATAATTATGGGACGGGGGAATATATATAATACCTGTTGCACTTAAAAGGTTTAAAATCATGTCCTTGTTTGCACTCTCCCTTCCACCGCTTGGGGACAGGACCCAAACCTTCGTCATTAAAACTCTTTGCTTCTGGCCAAATACCTGAACAGATCAAATTCACTCACATGTCACTAATCAGAAATGCAAATAGAATACATAAATTATATTAGATATGAATAATTCCTAATAAAAAGCAATTATATGCCACCAATGCGGGTATCACATTTATTATTACTCTATCTGTCCAAAAAAAAAAAAAATCACGTTAAATTTTTAAATTTTTATTAAAACTAGTTTTAATCTCAAAACTAGATGTAGAATATTTTTCAGGAATAGAAATAATGTCTTTTTTTTTTTATAACAATAGAAATAATGTCCCTTTTTGTTGTTTATTTTCATTCCAATTGTGTTGCTAACCGGTATCAAATATGCCAATGATGACATCTTCACCAGCAACAGAGGAAATATTTTGTTTTTGAATTCGGCCTGGTTTGGAATCGGATTCAACAAGGCTTTGACTTTTCAAGAAATCCCATGAACGTGTTGTGTGGAGTTGGTAGACTCGATCTGGAAACACTGATACAACTTCTGGCCTTTGGGCTATCAATTGGGCCTCTTCTTTCGATAGCCTTGCTGCAAAGCCCGAAAATGCATTTCGATACGTGTGTGTGACCCTATCTTTCCAACTGCAAGAAAATAAAAAGAAGAAAACACTTATACGTGTTTTGTTTTGTTTTGTTTTTTTTTTTTTTTAGAGAAAATAAAGTATAAATTTTAGAATTCAATGTAGATAATTTTATCGTAACAAATGGAATATATTATGAGTAACAAATTCATAAAAATTATACAAAAATCCTCAATTGTAACTTTGAACTCGAGTGTTCAAATTGCGTCCAACACTAAGAAAGTCCTAACCACCAAATCACTTAACAAAAACACAATCAATTTTTTTTTTTTTCTTTCTGAATCAAACCTTTCCATGGAAATGCTGCTCATGATATGGTCACTGTGGAAAGAGTTGGATGCAGGTGATCCGGTGTACACGATGTAAACGCCATCGTTTCGAGCTTCAGCTGCAGCTAATACCAACGGAATTGAAAGCACCGGCAATAGAGAAACAAAGCAGAAGCAATAAGCAACGAAGGAGTTCATTTTGCTGTTTTAGTGTTTGTTGCTTCAAAACTGCTGCTTCGTTACTTTTATAGAGATCATGATTGATTTTTTTAATTGAGTTATCATCAATGTGGGGTGTTTTTATTGTTTATTTATTGCATAGTGGAAGATAAAGTAATATTGAAATATCAATTTGAAAAATCAAATCACATAAAGGATTAAGAAAAGGCTAATTTGCTGGTCAATAGAGGCGAATTCAAGGGATTCAATGTCGGAATTGTGGATGTTTCGCTAGTTTCCGACGCCGTTCGATTTTTCGAAAATCAATCGGAGCCAACAGGAATGGCAACTGCTGGGAAACTGTCCGGAATCATTAATTCAATATGGGTTTTTATGTAAATGATGCATGTTGTAATAAATATATTGGTAATTGAATCACTTAAAAGGGAATTAATATAGGGTTTGTTCTAAGGATCGTATGCTTTTTTATTTTTTATTTTTTCGTGGGAACCTTAGTGTATGTAAGTGAAGAGAAAGAAGACCTAGGTGTGCATGCGTGGCTTAGATTGTGTGGAATCTTAGAGAATTATTACGAAAAGAATGATTTCTACTTAAAATTGTACTTCCTCCATCCTGAAAAGTTTGTCCATTTTAATATTTAACTTTAGTATAAATTATATTCAAAATGAAAATTCAAACTCCATAATAATTGTGGGACAGAAAGAGTAATACATTTCGTATAGTCCATTTTCAGATAAAATAAGGTATGGATAAAATACGACATTATTAATTGGAAGGTCGATAATATTTATGGTTTGTCTTCCTTTTTTAAAAAAAATAAAAGGCTCTGTTTAATCTTATAATGAAATGAAATGAAATAGAATGAAAGAAGAGCTTTGGAACGATAATCTTCCTTGCTGGCTCTGTATTACCACTAGGGTTTTTTATCAAATGTTACAAACAACAACCAGAGTAATCATCTCCGAAAATTCAGGAAAATTAACTCTAGCTATGGTAACTCAAATATTACATTTATTTGACATATATACATCCGTAGTATATAAAATTTTAAAACCTTCGTTGAAACTCGTGCATGTGTTGTAATTAATTTATAATATTAATTCGGCTTGTGGTTTTATATATATTACTAGTAGTTGCCCTACGTGTTGTACGAGTGATGTAAAATGGGAGGAGAAAATATACATATTATAAGTAAATAATTTTAAATTCAATATATTTCATGATATTTTCTCTTAACAAAAATCAAGTAAAATGAAGGTCAACATCTTTTCTCATTGAAACGTGTGAATAAGTTCCTTTTAGACTGTTGCCATTGCTCCTAAATAAATGTAAGAAATTTTTTTCCCTAAATGCATATAGCAATGCACAAATTTTGTACTTTTTTTTTTAAAAAAAAAGAAACAATAATATAATGGTAAGATCTTATCTTATCATTTATATTATTTGTAATACATGCCCGAAAAAATGAAAAAAAAAAAAAAGCTGGACAAATGAGAAATTATTTTTTGGATAAATAATTGTGAATTAATTTTAACCAATTTTTTGGAATAATTAAATTAAATTCAGAGATCTTATTGCGTCTTTGAAGGTTTCGGACAAATAATTGCAGATTTTAGGCAAATGATTCTGCCAAAACAAATAATAGCATCCAAAACAATTTTTACCAAAATACCCTCATTCATTAAACCTATTTCATATTTATATCTTGCCTATGAATTACTACATATTAAACAAGAGATTTCTTTTTTCTCACAAAAGAATTAAACAAGGCAATCGAATTTTTAGCCAGTAAATTAATTTCTCACTTATCCCATCTTAGCACGGGCGTGAAGTTGAACACAACATTTTCAGAGTTCATTTCTCCCAATTTTTTTTTATATATTACTAATAAGATAAAATCCCAAAAGAATCAAAATATGTAGTCTATACTTCTAAATTACTTTTAACATCATTTAAAACTCGATACGGCAGCAAAAAACTAATCTCCTCCAAAGATCAACATGATTTTTTTTTTGCATTCCGAAAAAAAAAATATTTACTTTGTGTTATAAAATCAAATACTTTCATGCAATTTTATTGATCGTCTGTGAGCAATTGAAATACATTTATCTAAATCAAAATTACTGAATGATAAAAAAAAATTTTAACATTATTTCAGTAATTGTGCATGTCATTTTCATGAAGAATATTTTTACAAAAGAAGAAAAAGGTTCAAGAAATGAGCAACTAGAAACAAAGGAACGTTTACGAGAGATGTGATGAAGTGGGATTAAAAAAGAAATGATTATAGAAGAGGGAAAAAGAAATCTGGATAAGCATCAAAGGAAAATTTGACAATTAAATTAATGTGGGCATTTTGGGTACTAGAAATTTTTTTGTTGTGGATGTTATTTTTTGTTTTGGTAATATCATCAGCCCAGATTTTATTATAGGTGTTTTTATGTAAAATTTGTTATGAGAATTTTATTTTAAGAAAAAAATTTCAAAATATAGTCCATCTTATCGCATCTAAAACATTCGGGTATCTTATGGTCATAACTAAAATGGAAACATTTGAATTTTATTTATTTTAGTTTAAAAAGTGTGCGTAAAAAGTGAAATTAAATAATTATATGAAAACATTAACTTATTAGATTGGATTTTATTTGTCCGGGTTTTTAATCGATTTTTTATTTTATGTCACGTGTCTTAAATCTCTTCTCTTTTAATTATTTGTTGACTCCAAATCAAACTTAATCAGTAAACTGGCAACAAGAAAGGTATTAGGCCAACTGATCATGATGGGATGAAAAGCATATAAATTCACAAGATAATTCATATGTCTCAGTCTCAAAACCAAGATTAATTATTTTATTTCAATAAACAAGAATATACTGTTTCTTTATTCTTTAAGCGGGGAGAACATTGGCGTAAATAATATGGATTTGCTCTAGCCCATAAAATTTTGATGTACTTTTTCCGGTTCTTTATATAAAGCATTTTGATTTGTCCAAGATTTCACCTAATACGTATTTTTAATTCACGAAAAAACCTTAAAAATATATCCTAACAATCAAGAGAACACAACAAATATAACAATATATTTTTAAGATTTTCTCGTTAATTAAAAATATGTACTAAATGAAATATAAAACAAATCAAAATATTTAATACTCCCTCCGTCTCATAATTATTGTCCAGTTTTATTAAAATGAAAGATTTTATTTTTGGTCAAACTTAACTATATTTTACCTAAAACAACCGGATATATCCCTACATAAGTAATTGTTTAACCACTAAGATTTTATGGATAATGTTTTTTATTAAGGACAAATGTGTAACTTGATCTATAAAAAGTCAAATTGGACAATAATTTTGGGACAAAATTTTTTTGGCAAAGTGGACAATAATTATGGGACGGAGGGAGTATTAAAGATAGGAGGAAGTATCATACATCATAGTATTATCAATGATGTCTGGTAGCTAGTTGTCAATTGTCATGGCCGGGCCAGAAGGCGGCTAAGGTTCGCGGTGGCTTATAAAAGAATCCAAGTCTTGTTATTTTTTAATGAGAGATCTACAACAACTGGATTCTTTTATTATTCTTTCTAGTAGGTGTTTTATTTTATATAATCATAGGTATTGAGTATTGATTAATTCTTTTTTGAGTTTTTCCTTTTGAAAAAGGAGAAAGCACTCATAGCACCTGGTTACGAAGGAATTAAATACTCCTAGTAATTTAAGCACTTACGTTTATTTATTTAATTATTATCATTGTTACGTAAACATGATAATATTGAATTCAACTTTCACAAAATAAGAAGATATACTCATATTACATCATGTCTGATCCATAATCATAGTTCATTCGAAAGATGATGGAATATTCGAGATTTTTTTTTTTTTTTTATCTCTCAGGTGTCCATTTGGGTTAACAATATTCATAATTCATTTGATATAAACGATGACTAAGTAGGAAACCACTATTGATACTTTAGGAAAAAAAAAAACCGATGAGTAAAATTATTTGAGGATATGTCATAGTTTGACAAAAATATGTTTTCAAATCATAACCAAAAAAAAAAAAGAGAAAAAAGAAAAATTATAGTATAAAAAAAACGTGCTTGTAAATCCGTAGCTTCACATTTTCGATCTTTTAGTAGCTGATGAATCAAAACCATTCAGCCTCGTAATTATTGAGCTGCGTAGTTTGGAGGCCGAGTTATTACCTTCATTCCCAATAAATTAATTATGAGAAATTTTATTATGATCGGAACTTATAAAATAATACCAATCTTTCCTAATAGATACCTTTCCTTAGTTTACACGTTCAATAAACATCATATACTTCATCTGTTATAAAGTTATTACCTGTTTTTCAGTTTTATTTTGAATAATTTAGACAATTATTTCAGAACGTAGGGAATATACTTCTTTTATATAAATATATATAATGTTTTTCTCTTTTTAGATGTTACAATGAAAAATCTGAGCGCGTTAACTCTTGTTTTGATGCTTTAATCACCTTTCTATTCCTTAGATGAGTGACTTTGGCTAATTTAATTAGTTTTATCAAGTGGTGGTGAAAATTCAAAACTGGCGGTATTTTAAGATAGCCGTTGTATAAAACTCTTGCTTGTGCCGCACGTGAGATTGCTAAACCTTGTTCGATCTCTCCTAGTAGATGAAAAAGAAATAATTGATGAAGGCTATCCAAAATCCATGAAATGGGAATCTCTCCTTTTCTGGGTGGAAGTTCAACTTGTACGTTTGACTTGTTGAAAGTTAGGTCAGCCAAGCTGCCGCGTACAACAAGAGGGGGCTCAAAAAATTTCGAAGTATCAAATTGATCCTTGAAGGTTTCCGTTAATGATTTCACCGAATAGTTTTTTTTTTTCTTTTAATCCTTCGACGTTGCTTTTTCAAGGAGACAACTTGTGAATTGTTCCTTTGTATTACCTTGTCCCAAAAAAAATTAAGCACAAATTTGAAAAGTCGATGTAGGCTATTTTTCAGGGACAGGGGTAGTAGATAGTCAGATAGGAACTGGTAGTAAATTTGAAAACTCAATGTGGATTACTTTTTCGGAACAGAGATTACAAGTTAAGCAATAATTCATTGGTTGTCCCGCTCATTGAAGAACCAACATCAATACAAATTTGTAAACCTAGACGTGGATTATTCTTTTGAATTTGAAGCACATACAGGATTATGACAATCCAAGAAGGTGAACCACATCCTCGAAGGAAGTGAGCCATGAACACATCTTAGAATCTTGTTGAATTTCTCAAGAGAACGTCAAGTGAACTGCCAAGGAGGTTAAGATGGCAGAAACTTCCAAGTGACTGCATGCATGGCGGATGAAACAAGATGCTTATTTGCAGCTGCTACTTCTTCATCAGCTGACATGGATGCAGCCTTTTAATCTTTCCAGCTGGTAGTTGCACCTGATTCCTTGATCTTGAAACTGTTCTAGAAGCTTTCTAATCCATGTCATCGATCCGATCAGTACAAAGTATCTTAATTCATAGCTATTAGATTATGAGTTCGAGTTTTGACAGATCAAATTAGATGTGTTTCTTTATACCCTGTAAATAGAAAGGTAGTTTATACAGCTATAGAAAGGTAGTTTTACTAGAATAGAACATCTATATACATATATATATATAGTTGTACAAAAATCATATACGAAAAATACAGAATATTTGGAAGTTTTCTTCTTCATAAAGATACTCCCAAAAGTTGATCTCTACTTTCTTTTAGTTCATCATTCAGTCTTAGATTCTTTTAGTTGATGAAAATTCTATGAATTTTGAGATGCGATCCAAAAAAGTTTAATCCTGCTCTGATTTTTGTTGAATTTCTTTTCAATTTTTCCAGCTCCTAAAGTTTCTTTCAAGAATTTCGTAGATCTAGAAATCTCTGATTAACCTGAGCAGTTTGTTTCAAGATGGAGAACCAGAACGAACAAAGAGTCAATTCACTGGTTTACGAGCATCTAAATGTTCATGGATCAAAAAATTCAGGTATGCAATTGGTGTCGGTGCTTTTAACCAACAAGAACTACCTGATTTGAGGGTGTGCAATGATTTCAGCTTTGGAGGGAAAGATGAAGTTCGGATTTATCGACGGAAGTTTTCCCATACCGGCAGAGATTTTGCCAATAAGTTTGCAATGGAGGCGTGCAAATAGTCTGGTATGTTCTTGGATCAAAAGTTCAATGACTTCTATGATAATGAACACTTTTATGTTTATACATGATGCTAGAAAGTTGTGGAAAAGTGTGGAGCTGCGTTTCAAAACTACTAATTTGCCCCATTTGTTTGAATAGCGTTACTTAGGCAGGGAACATAACTTTCTATTAGTATTTTCACAAGATTAAACAGATTTCAGATCAATTTGACTTTTTATGCCAATATCAAATTATTGCATGCCAATATCAAACGCTCCTTGTACTTAATATCCCCATCTGGGAACAAGCGAGTACACGCATAGATGCAAGCATGGAGAATTCTGCTATGATAATGCAGGCTCCAATGATGATGATGAAAGGTCCAAATTATGATGATCCAAGGAGCAGAGAATGCAGCATTGCTGGCTAAGACAATGAATTGGAAAAAAGATGTGGATAGCAAGACCAATGGTTATCAGAAGGTTGATAAAAGCCATTTGAAATGCACACATTGTCAGAGAACTTGACATCCAATTGGAGGTTTTTTCAAGATCAAAGGTTTCCTAGAGTGGTAGCCTAACCTAAGAAGACAGCACAGCTTTTCCATTCAGCAAATCTGGTTAGTATGACACATGGAAATAGTGGCACAATACAGAGCTTTTCTCAGGGGAACTTGTAGAACAATCCTTACTATCAACTAGGAGGAAATGGTATGAATTTGGGTTCTAACAAGGAGATGGTACTAGCAATTTAAGCCATACACCATTAGATTTTTGCACAGAACAATGAGGGAATTATCAGCAGTTGTTCAACAATGCGTTGCAGAAAAAGGTTAAAAGAATTAAGTAAGGGAAAGCACCTGTGGCAATGACAGGAGGACAGATGGCAAATCTAGCACACTACTTAGTTCCTGTCTTTATAATTATATCAGTCCAAATGCATCAGTAACATAGAGTATTGGTGCCACTGGTCATATTTGCACTAATCTTACATTGATGCATAATGCAAAACCTTTCAATTCCTTCACTCCTGTTTCATTGCCTGGTGGTAGTGTAAAATATGTGAGTCATTATGGTGATGTTAAGCTCACAAAAACTATTACTTTGACATCTTTTTTACATTTACCAAGCTTCAAATAACCATCTTTCTGTAAGAAAATTAGCCAAAACCTCAAATATGTATTTCCAGTTCTTTGTTGATTTCTGTCTTCTATAGGACCTTAAAACTGGGAAGGTCTTGGCAGCTGGAAGAATCATCAGAGAGCTATAGATTTTGTATTCCTTCATTTACTTCAGAGGCTATACTTAAGTCACAAGAACTGTATTCACCCTATTTCTTTACTCGTAACTTGTATAGTTCCTCTAAACTTTGACTACAAAACTTGTAATAGCTTACATATTGGAATTCCTTCCCAAGACTTTACATATTAGGCTAGGTCATCCTTCCTTTGATATAATGCAACATTTAAATGGATGTAATATTTCCAAAGAAGCATACTGATATGAGTTGATGTCAAGTTTGTTCTCTTTCTAAACAACATCATTTGCCTTTTCTTATTCATGAAAGTAGAAATAAGATGTGATTTGAATTAATCCATGTAGATGTCTGGGGACCCTTTCATTACTCAACTAAGAGTAGTTGTCAATTTTTACTGAAAATACTGGATGATTACATTAGATGTACATGGACTTATCTTTTCCAAAATGAAAAATGTCGGTTTTGGTCCCAAAGTTTAGGGGGTATCCCAATCCAATCACCACAAATATTTTGTCCCAATTTTAGTCCCTTTATACTTTTTTTCTCACCGATTTTGGTCTTTTTAGCATATTTCGTTAGTTATTGACGGAAATTGTAACCCTTCCATTAATCTCCAATTTTTTAAATTGTTTCTTTCAGGTGGTGGGTCCCACATTCGTTGACCCCGAAAGAAAGTTTTTGCCTTTTCTTTTCAAAAAAAACGCAACAAAATCAAAAGGGGTTTTGGCCTTCTTAGTGTTAACCACTCTACATTTCAGAAGAAAAAACCATCGGCATTCCAACAAAATCCATTTGTCATAGAACCTTAGATACGGCTAATTAATCCAGTTTGATCAACAGAAACTGTAGTAATCGAAGAAAACAAGTAGTGATCGAAGGCGAGGGGAAGAGAAATCATTGAAGAACTTATCTCGATGTCTGGATTGAGAGAGCAGAAGTATAACAATGAGGCAATTCAAAACTACCTAAGATCTTATCCCTTGTAGTGTTTTTGTCCTTTTTTGGACAGATATGTTAGTTATTCGATGGAAATATGCAAAATGGTTGACTCTTTTTCTCAGTAAGAGTTTCAAAAATTTAGGGTGAGGACTAGGGTTTCTGGTTGACTTGCCCCTTTTTTCCATAGATCAGTTTGTTATTTCGATGGGAATGTGTAAAAAGTCGAAACCCTTTTTATAATTTCGTGGTTTGAAATTGGGGCTGAGGGTTAGGGTTTCTCCGTGATGGAAAATTTTCAAAAGTTGAAGGGCCCTATATGTTTTTTGAAAAGGGACAAGGAGAATCAAAATGAGGGTTACATTATTATTAAATGTAATCTAATCTAGTTATGAGGGTTATAATATATTGAGATATTTTGTGAATGTGGTCCAGTCAACACAGTAACTGAAAATATAATGGCTCTATTATGTTCTTTCTCTTTGTTCCTTTCAGTATTATTTAGTCAAGTGGTATTGGTTTCTGTACACAATATACAATAAAGTAGGGTCCTAATGTTGGTGTGTTGTTTGTCATGTGCAGATAGAAGTAGGAAGTTATTGACAGTTCAGTTTTTCCACCATGGAGAAATAGTGAAAGAACCCTACCCACATTATGCTGGTGGAGAGACAAGCGTGTTCAATTATGTTGATTCTGATGGCTTGTTTCTTTATGATTTGCGCATTATGTATGATTCTGCATTTGGGAACGGGGGGTGGGGAGAAGGGGAGAGGGGGAACAAAGTTGTACTCCATTTATGAAAGGGATGAAAAATATTATCTAGAGGAGGTTATCACTAACACAAAAGTGCAACAGTTGTGCATGGATGCTCTAGCTAGAGATAGACTTCTGATTCTGTATGACTATCTAATCGATAAGGATAGATACCATTAGAGGTGTGTCCGCACGTAGCACTTAGCTCCCAGACCAGGGTACACTCTAATACTATTTGTAATATCCCAGCCTCATAGACTGGCCCAACAACTTTCAGACTTTCGTCCTCGCCAGCCCAAAATGGTTAACCCAAGTTGTTAGTAGTTTATGAAGTTGAGACTTATATACAGGTCATTCACTTTGTCAGGTAGCAATGTGGGCCCAGGATATTACATGGGGAACAGAAAGCTTCTACATCAACAGGTAGAAACAGAAAGGTGCAGACGAAACAGCTGAAGAATTACAAATATGACGAGGGAAACTACGATTATAATAGTGGGTAAGATGTTGAACCAGATTCTGAGGAAGACTGTTAAAGTCTACATGGATTAGATGATGAAGATGTAGAGAAGCTTTTGGTATTTTATCCTAAGGACATGGAAAAGCCACCCCTTTAATGTGGTCTGACTTTTAGTTCTCGGGTTGAATGTAAGTAAGCAATCAAACGCTTGAATATAAGTAGAGGTAGGAGATGGAGGTTCAAAAAGAATGACAAATGTAGAATTAAGGTTGTGTGTATGATGGGGAAAGATATTTGTGACTGGGAGATATTTGTGAGCAACTGTAGTGGGTACCCCATGGTGACTACATTTGTACCTCGTCATAAGTGCAAATTCAGGCATAAGAATAAGAGTGTAACATATGGCCTTGCTGGTAGGGTTTGTATTCAATTGGTTAAGGATAACTCTAAGATCAATATTAGGAGATACAAGAACTTGTAAAGGAGAAATACAAGTTTTCTCTCACAGTGAGACAAGCTTATACAACAAGAAGGATTTCCATGAGAATTGTGTATGGTTCTGTTCAAGATCAATATCAGAAGCTGAGGAATTATTGTGGGGAAATAGTAATGAGTACCAAGTTCTACAGTAGACCTAGTTGCTGATCCTATGTTTTTGGATGAGAAAATAGAGCAGGCCAGATGCTTAAGACTGTACATCTGTTTGCAGCCATTAGAGATGGAATTTTTGTCCTCTTTCTAGCCTGTTATAGGTTTAGATGGGACTTTTTTAAGGGCTACAGCCAGAGGTGTCTTACTCACAGCAGCAGGAGTTGATCCAAACAATAAAGTGTATCCAATTGCATGGTCTGTTGTTGAGGGTAAGAGTAATGTAACATGGGAATGGTTTCTGAAGCTATTGAAAAATGATCTCCTGATTGAAAGAGACATTGAATGGACTCTTATGAGTGATAAATAGAAAGGGTTGATTCATGCTTGTGATAATGAGTTTCCAAATGCTAATCATCGGTTTTGTATTAAGCATATACATCATAATTTTTCTGATCAAGGGTTTAGGAGTGAAGCACTTTTGCAGTTGTTGTGGGCAGCAGCTAAATCTACAATAGCGAATCAGTTCAATGGTTATATAGAACATATGGCAGAGTTGAATAAAGAAGCAGCACATTGGTTGAAGAACAAACCAAAATATGAGTGGTGCAGGGCTTTCTTCAGTTTTTTTTGCCTAGGTGTGATGTTTTTTTGAATAATCACGGTGAGTAATTAAATGGAATGATTAGGGATGCTAGGTCAGTGCCAAAAATCAGCATGCTAGATGAAATTAAAAGGATAGTAGTCGAGAGGTGGTATGAAAATAGAGAAGGAGATAATGATCTATGGAGTAATAGGGCAATATATCCTAGGATTTTTTAGAGGATAATGCACAACTGTAAGGCAAAAGTATGTCAACCTACACTTCATGATGAGAAATTTTGAGGTTGAGGGGTAAATGAAGATAATGGTAAATATGCAGTGGACTTGAAAGCTAAGACTTGTAGCTGTAGAAAATGGCAGCTATGTGGAGTACCTTGTCCACATGTCATCTCTTCAGTTTGGTGTGCTGAGAAAGATCCAATGGATTTTTTTGATCCTTTCTATAGTGTCCAGGCTTATCAAAACTGTTAGCAGCCATATATATTGCCAATGAGAGGTGAATCGGAATCGGAAAAAGTACCGGGAACACCACTTCTTCCACCAGTTTATGCTAGAGGTCCTGGCAGGCCAAAGAGTAATAAAAGGAGAAAAAGTCTAGCTGAAAGAATCATTGAGGAGGATGGAAAAAAGAAGTTGAGTAGGACTGGACAGAAAAAACATTGTACTATATGTTAACTTCAAGGTCATAATAGGAGAAAGTGCCCTTCAAGGACAGCCTCAAAAGGGAGACAAAATAATCAATCACAGGGTCCTATGGGATCACAGGTCACAACCAGAGGAAGTGCCCCTTCATTGATCCTATAGAAGGGGTTGTAGACCTTGGCAGCAATGAGGATGACCTTTCTGATGTGGTACAACTTAATGTGAAGACAGTCGCACCAGAAAATTCAAAATCTATTATGATGCCTTTATTGCCTGTAAGTGTACTTTAACTTCAAATTAATTATAAGACCAGTTTTAGGGTTTATATAGGGCATATATAACATGTAAGTGCTCATCTGCAGGTTAAGAGAAAGTTTTTCGTCTCTGATGAGTCCAACAAGAAGTCATTTTATCTAGATGAAAACATCGTTGGAGTAACAAGACACTATGTTTTATTTTCAATTTTGAACTAGTTTAATTGAATATTGATTTGATGTTGTGCTACTATTCGGAAATAAAGGCCATTGAAGCTGAAGCAAAGAGGAAAATAGACCAATTGAAGAAAAAACCAAAAACAGACCATGTGAGTGTAAGTGATTACTTTTTACTTAATATTTTCTGATTTAGATTACTCTTTTATACCCATCATAACTGGTTTCATCAAATGTCAATGTTCAGTACACTGATCTACATGCAAAACAAGGTTTGAGGAGAAGTCCAAGGAAAATTGTAAAAGATGTAAGTGAATTTTCTCATTTTTTCTGTGCATATCAAGTAATTTTTATCTTTCTTTCACTATTAATAACTATCTATCATATGTTCAAGTGACTACAAAAGCAATTAGGAGCAATGATGAGAGTAAAGACACATCGAAACATAAGAATAAGGACATCGTTAAGGTTTATTTCGATTACTTTCCATATACACCTTCAATATGTTGCATCCTACAGTTTGTGTACTTTCTTGATAATCTGTAATGTTGCTTGTTATCTATGTATTATTTTCAAAGTTTATCTCATCCCATAAAAATGTCAAAGAATGTTCAAATTACAAAGGACATTAGGAAAGGAAAAGAGAAGGTAAATTTCTGTTTTTGTGGTTCCCTTATAAACACTATGAAGCATCTACAGGTCTGGCAATATTATTTGTTCGGTTCACTTCTTTGTTTTGGCTTTTAGTGTCTTTTACAGCCCCAACTACCTACAAAGAGGGTTGCCGATGTTGAACCAGATATAATGTTCTTAGATGATCCATCTGAATCACAATTGAAGAAACTACAGCATAGGACAATCTGTGTTGCGCCCAATGATCAGGTATTAATGACCTTTCTGAAAAGACTCTCAATATACTTGTACATCATTATTCAGTCAAATTCCTTGTGTCTTTTGCAAGAACCCTAACATGTTTATAATTATTTAATCAGGCCAAAGGAGTTAAGAAAGCTACTAAGACCAATAAAAAAAATAAAAAAAATAAAGAGAGAGAGAGAGAGAGAAGATCATGAAAAGAGAGAGAGAGAGAGAGAGAGAGAGAGAGGAAATCAGGTATGATTCCCTTTGCTCTATCGAAGACATCGGGGTCATGGAAACAGAAAAATTTATAGCGATCATCGCTCTACAAAAACAAAAAACACATTTATAGCAATGGATTTACGACCTAGATCTATCTCAAATTCAGTAGATCTTCATCAATGGAGACTTACTGAATACAATGCGCAGCCCCAAAACCTTCTCCCAGGATGATCATCTCTCCAATAGGTCACCAAATTCGCAATAAACGCACATCCACACCTCACAACGCCGTTTGTTGCCATCTTCAATTTTTTGAAAAAAATTTTGATAATAACCTGATGAATCTTGGAAGAGTTTGCAAACCCATACTTATACTGCTTGGAGAGGGTATTTTTGGCGCGATTTCTGCTACCTATTTAGCGCAAAAAAAAAAAAAAAAAGTCTTGGTCTACGAATGTGGGTACCGCCATCAGCACTAAACGAATAAAATAATCAGACATTAACGAAAAAGTTACAATTTTCACCAATTATTACAAAAAACTGTTAATAAGTCCAAAATCGATGAGAAAAAAGTGTAAAGGGACTAAAATTGGAGACATAATGTTTGTGGTGACTGGGTTAGGCTACCCCCTAAACTTTAGGGACCAAAACCGGCATTTGTCTTTTCCAAAATAAAATCCAAGTTCCAGTCTCAATAGGGTCATCTTCCGTATGACTAAAATACATTTCCAAACCATTATTAAAATCATCAAGAGTAATAATGGAACTGAATTCCTAAATAACACCATTCAATAATTTTTTTTGGAAACAATGCATTTTCCATCGAAGGAGTTGTCCTTATTCCCCACAGCAAAATAGAATTGTGGAATTGAAAACATACACACTTATCAGATGTTGCAAGATCACTCCTGTTTCAGTCAAACTTGCGAAACAAATTTTGGGGGATTCAATCTTTACTGCTACATACCTAATCAATAGGTGGCCATCTAGGTTATTGGGTTGGAAGTCACCTTTTGAGATTTTGTATAAACAGAAACCTAGCTGATCTTTTCTTAGGATTTTGGTTGTTTATATTTGCGGTACACAATGGTCCAGGGAGGGATACATTTGATTGTAGAACCTTCAAAGGATTGTTTGTAGGGTATCCAACAGGGCAGAAGGGGTACAGAGTATATTGCCTAGATCAACAAAAAGTTATAGTGTCCAGAGATGTAGTATTTCATGAGGAAAAAGTTTTCCTTTCATTGATTCCACCGGATCTTCAATACCACTCCCTAGAATACAAATAAATGAGCTCAATGATGGCTTTGTTCCTCAGAAACTATCATCCGGAAATTGTTTTGATAATCATGATCACACAAACCATTCTTCCAACTCAGATTCTAATCATTTGAACAAAATTCGAATTCTTATAATCCTATACTCAGAAGAAGCACTAGAATTAGAAAGCCTTATGTTCTGTTAGAACATTATGAAATTTCATTTTCTTGTTGGTGTGGACTACTTGTATCCCATATCTATGAAAAAACCTGCTCTTGCAGCCCTGCATATCATGATTTTGTGGTCAATTTGTCAGTTATTCATGAGCCTAGTCATTATAATAAGGCAAGAACTAACCACAGGTGGGTGGAAGCTATGAATTTGGAGCTGAAAGCACTAGAGGATAATGGAACTTTGGAACTCACCAATCTTCCAGAAGGGAAGAAGGCAGTGGGTTCAAAATGGGTGTACAAGGTGGAAAGTAATCGAGATGGTTCCATAGAAAGATACAAATCACATCTAGTAGCCAAAGGTTACAATCAAATTGAGGGTGAAGATTTTACTAAAATCTTCTCTAATGTGGATAAAGTAGAAAGATACAAAGCACATCTAGTAGCCAAAGGTTACAATCAAATTGAGGGTGAAGAGTTTACTGAAATCTTCTCTAATGTGGATAAAGTGGTCACAGTAAGAATGCTCTTTGCTATAGCAACTGCCAAACAATGGTCTATCTATCAAATGGATGTAAACAATGCTATTCTGCATGGTACATTGGATGAAGTATATATGCACCCTCCACCAGGTTATGACAAAACCAAGAAGGGACAAGTATACCGGTTGAAAAAATCATTATATGGCCTGGAACAAGCCATCAGGCAATGGAATAAAGAGTTTAATTCTAAGCTTCATTCATATGGTTTCAGTCAATCATACCATGACAATTCCCTATTCACTTTACATCATCATGATTTTCACTTGTTCAAACTGTTGTGTGTGGATTATGTATGGATAACAGGTACTTCTGATCAAGAAATCTAGACAGTAAAGTACTTGGATTAAGCTTTCACTATCAAAGACCTTGGAACTGCTAGATAACTTTTAGGCTTGGAAATTGCAAGGTCATGGGATGGGATTTATATCAGCCAAAAAAAGTTTATCACTGATTTGTCGCAAGGGACGGGTATGTTAGATTGTACTGTTGTTTCTACTCCTCTTCCTCCTAGTCTGAAGCTTCCATCAGAAGATCAAGAGGACACAGCTCTTTATCAAAATCCTGAGAAATACAAAAGATTGGTGGGAAAATTTCTCTACTTGAAGATACTAGGCCTGATTCGACTTATTTAGTGCAACAACTTAGTCAATTCCTTCGTAAACCACATCATTCACATTGAAATGTTGGAGTTCATGTGTTAAGATACTTGTTAGGATGAGTGTCCAAAGGATTGTTTTATTCAAGCAAAGCAAATTTAAGCTTAACTGCTTATAGTGATGCAAATTGGGGATCTTCTAAAACATCAAGACATTTTATTACTGGCTATTGTGTGTTTTTAGACCCAAGTTTGGTGTCCTGGATACAAAAGAAGCATACCACTATTTCATGTTCATCAGCCGAAGCTGAATATAGGGCAATGGCCTCAACTATCAAGGAACTACAATGGATCACATGTCTTGAAAGATTTTCAGGTTCATGTCATCCTTTCAGTTCCTTTCATCTGTGACAGCAAAGTAGCAATGGAACTGCAAATCATGTATTTCATGAAAAAATAAAGTACATTGAAATAGATTGTCTTGTAGTCCGGGACAAATACAAGGAAGGTTTCATTTCACTTAATCATGTTTGTTCTTCTCAGCAATTGGTTGATGTCAATTCCTTTTCCTACATATTATCCAAGTTGAGCTCGTGGGATGCTCCATTTGAGGAAGGGGTGTTGAATTTATCAGGAGAATGTCAGCAAGTCAACTGTCAAGGAGGTTAAGATGGCTGAAACTTCCAAGTGACTACATGCATGGAAGATGAAATGGCATGCCCATTTGCAGCTGCTACTTCTTCATCAGCTGGCATAGATGCAGCCTTTCAATCTTTCCAGCTAATAGTTGCACCTGATTCCTTGATCTTGAATCTGTTTTAGATGCTTCCTAATCCATGTCATCAATCCAATCAGTACAAATTGCTTTGTTTCATAGCCAACAGATTATGAGTTAGTTAGATTTTTGACGGATTAGGTTAGATGTGATGGGTAAAACTCCATTAAATGATCAACAGTGTGTGTGCATGTATGAATAGTGTTTGCAGGCAAGGAGTTGCAATTTTTTGACCAAAATTGCATGTTCACTTTGCATTAAATTTGCACAGTGAAGTGAACTCATTTTTGGCAGGAAATTTTTGACAAAGCTGCAAATTGTTTTGGCAACCAATTCACGCGTGGTTATTTCCTTTCATCAGTGCATACAAAAGGTTTTTGTTCGCGCTTGGGGGAATAAGCCTATAAAAGGCCATGACTTCTTCATTTGCAAAGTGCAGAGAACGGGAAATCAAAACATCAAGAAAAATTTGATCTCCTGAGTGTAGAGAGTTTTTCTTGAGTGAGTGTTTTGTGTTCTTTAGATCACGTCCATAGAGAGGTGTGAGGTTTATAAATAGAGTGGTAAAATTGAGTGTCCTAGTATTGTGATCATATTCTAGAGGGTGGAAAATTTGAGTGATTGTAATAAATTCTCCATACACTTAAGAGTGAAAATTTTACCAGCTCAGTCCCGTGGTTTTTTCTCTCTAAGTATTTTGGGGATTTCCACGTAAATCTCGGTGTCTCTTATTTATTTCTGACATTTACGGTAATTAGTTGGTTTTTACCGTGATTATTATTCTGGTGAAATTGATCGTTGTGGGAAAAGCTGGCAATTGTAGCTAATTATTTATCGGCGTAACTAACTTTTATCGTCGGTAATTTTATTTTACTTTTACCATCGTCATTCTGACTGTGGGGCCTCACCTGGGATTGAAGGTTTATCCCAACAAGATGTGTTTCTTTATACTTCGTAAATAGAAATGTAGTGTATACAGCTATAGAAAGGTAGCTTCATTAGAACGGAACATATATATATATATATATATATATATATTCTTAAACAAAAATCAGATATGGAAAATATATAATATTTAGAAGTTTTCTTCTTCAGAAAGATACTCCCAAAAGTTGATCTCTGCTTTCTTTTAGTTCATCATTCAGTCTCCGATTCTTTTAGTTGATGAAAATTCCATGAATTTTGAGACAAGAATGGAATAATAATAAACTTATCTCAAGAATGGGAGAAGCAGAAGGATTATGATTTGCGATGAATCTAAATTTCCTTTGTTCTAATCTTGTTCGTTCTTAATTTGATATGAATCTTATATATGATTTTGTGAACGCTTTTAAATAGTTGAAGCATGTGACTTTTCGTGTATTAAGCACCAAAAACTTGAACCAACACAAGAACAAACTGATATATGGGTTCTATCTGCACTGATTCAAAAAGTAACATAAACAACTTTTTAACCCAATTGATCCTCATATATCTCCTAAAACTTATAGTTGCAAGAACTCTTACATTTCTACGTGATAATTCATCGAGAATCTGGCTTTTTGGGTCCGATATTCAGAAGATACAATAGTAACTTTTTGAATTAATTACTCCAAAAGTACTAAGAAAATGTCAATTATATTCACTCAGAACTAAAAATAAAAAATGTTGCACTTTGGTACGAAATAGTGAGGTTTTATTTTTTTTTTCAGTTCTTCGTTGATTTTCTGAAGAAAAAGGTGGTGGTCAGCGGCAGCGGGCGGTTGAGTTAACCAAGGGTACAATCGGTAAATCAAAAAAATAAAGAACACTTCCCACGCACGTAACTCACGCATGTTTGCCGCCAAAAAACAAAAGCGACAAACAACTGAAACCCTAATCTGACAATATATCTGCCCATCCTTTTTGGTACAGGTGAATTGTTGTTTTGCACTCCCTTTTGTCCCTAGTTCATTGAAATGATACCAACATCAATAGTGTACAAAATTTCAAGAAACTCACATGTATTTTGAATTTGCCACTTCTATTTTTTGGCGGCAAACTCGTGCGAGTCACGTGCGTGAGAAATGTTGTTTATTTTTTTTTGATTTGCCGATTATATCCTTGGTCAACTCAACCGCCCACATTCGTTGACTGCCACCTTTTCCTCGAAAAACAAACAGAGAACCGAAAAAAAATAAACCTCACTTTTTCGTACAAAAGTGCAACATTTTTTCTTTTTAGTTCTTAGTGAATATGATTGGCATCTTTTTAGTACTTTTAGAGTAATGAATTCTAAATTATTTTAATACTCGTTATGTCTTTTAAAAAAGGGAAAATTTTGATTAATGGCATAAGAAAAATCATAATTATTGTGAAGGGCATCAAAAATATTTATTCATTCTCGTCAACATCTGGTTGATTTTAATATTTCTTTTCTCTTGAAATGACTATCTTATCCTCCCGTTCCAGGTTTAAATTCCTAAATTTCATTCTTTCTTTCTCTTATTATTTCAAGCAATTTCATAAATCGCTAGATTCTTAATGTCCTCCAGTTCCAGGTTTCTCACTGCCGCCCCACCATTTCTGGCATCCAAATTGCCGGAATCCCCCTTCTGCCGCCCAGATCCACCCTCTGCTGCCCTCTCCTAAACCTCTGCCGCTCCGCTCTCAACTCGGAATCCACCTCTGCTGCCTTCGCCACCCTCCTGCTGCGTCCCAGATCTGACGGAGTCCATGCCAGTTCGGATTTGGTTGTTTTTTTATTGTTGTGTTTTAATTCAATTAAGTGGGATAGCCCACCCTCAGTATAGATCTCGGATTGATTCTTTAGAGAGTGATTGTGTCAATGGAGCCGAGTCCGTTGGTCGCGTCCGAATTTGATGTGTGCTGTTCGTCGTTAATGACGATAAATTTGTACTTCAGTCTGCGAATTAGTGATATATTCGAGTTCAGAATTTTATTCTGTTCCGTGATATGTCTGACAATAGAATTATGTCATTATAAGATTGTTAACCCTTTTGACAGCTGTATTGGTCTAGTCACGGGTGCAGTAACTAGTACCGTAAGTACGTCATTAGGACGGTTCGAGTACGTCATTTTGGACGGTTTGTTCTTGTATCAAATGGTGGTGGACCATTTCCAATAATCTTAATGGAATATATTTTCCCTCAAAAAAAAAAAAAACATGATCCCGTTGTGGTGAGGCCCAATATGTTTGCTTCCACAACGCTAATTCGTCATTCTAACTATTCCATAAATCTTCTGTAATCTGTATTCCCTGGCGAAAAGTTCATACATGATGATGAAGATGCTAATGCGTTGACTTAATTAAAAACCATGGAGTAGTCAATTTCAAGAGAAATTTTATGCAAAAAAGAACTCAACCCAATAATCAACCCAGTCCGCCTCAAGCTTAATCCACAAAGGAGTTGTTGCTCAATTTATTCCCAAGCCCGTTGCTATAGCAGTGTGCGTGTCGATTATTAGTTTTTAAGGGGAAAATAAAGCACCGGAACATTATAATCTTTAAGATTAGGTTTCATAGTCTCGCAGATAGAATCAAAGCATTTGAAAGGCTCGATTAAAGGGAACAAAACACGAAAACACACATTGATTGAAGGATAAGATAGTCATTCAAGAGAAAACATACATTAGAAGTAATAAATTACTGACAAAAAATGAAGTAATAATTATGATCCCCTTCATAATAATTACAATCTTTCGTACGCCCTTAATCAATATTTTCCCTTAAAAAAAAAATAGGCAGTATGCATTGTATTTGTAAATTATATTAAAAACGATATATACAATTTGAAATTTTTATAAGGCAGATATACTATCAGCTCGCACAATTTAATCTAAATTAATAATAAAATAAATTAATAAATGAGGTTGAAGGGAGAGAATTGGAGGAGGAGAGACAGAGTTCAAATTTTAAAAGATGAGATTACAACAAGAAATGGGAAAGTAAGAGTGAAAAGGAAAGAAGTAGGAATTGCGGGAGAAATAATTAGGTTTCAGACCATTTCATAATTCATCTATAATCTTTACAAAAACATGTTTAGAATAGTTGAGAATTATTAGGAAAGAAGTAAGAATTGGGAGACAAATTAAGTTTGAGATCATTCCATAATACATCGATAATCTTTAACAAAACATGTTTCCAATAATTAAGATGGTTTCACCAACACTAGTCTAAAAACACCTCTAGGGCATGACATAGAATAATCCACTTTAGAGATTTTCTACTGCCATGGACCATATAATTTGGGCTAAACAAAATATCATGCTCTTGGATCATTTTAGGAGTAAGTTAAACTAGAGGGGTTAAATTATAACTTCTGCCTCTCAAACTGTAGATAGCTTATAAGCTACATTGTACTGAAACGAAAGAAATATCGATGAAAATGAAATGAATACCGAACTCCAATTCTCCCTCAATTCCCTTCTTTCCCAATTCACCTCCTTTTCTCTTAGGATTTTAATCTCACCCACTGTAGATCTGAAATCTGCTCCATCAACTTCTAATTCTCCTCCGCCGCCCTCTTTTCTTGAAATTTATAAAGTTTCAAAATCAAGGCAATGACACAAAACAACTGCATATAATCATTGGGCTGTAAGCTATTGGGCTTACCTTGATATCTTATCAATGATATGGACAAATCATCATCAAAATGACCATCAATGATGGGCAAAAAATATATGAGAGCCCGATTGTAGACTTTATTTTGTGTCACCAAAAACTTGATCCGCTTCTATGTTCTTTGCATTTTCTCAAATCAAATTATGACAATCCTCATTTTTTCTATATAAAAAAAATATACTCCCTCTGTCCCAAAATTATTGTCCACTTTGAAATTTTAATTTTAGTACAATTTGAACTAAAAATAAAACTCAAACTGGACAATAATTATGGGACGGAGGGAGTAATACATATATGTATGATAGAAAAAAAAAAGAGAGAGAGGAAGATTAACAAATAAATAAATCTTCCATCTCTGTTTTATTATATAGTTTGTCCACGTTACAATGATTACATCCTCCGGGCAAATCTTATTATGGAGAAAAATAGGAAAAGAGAAATCAAAAATTTTAAAGAAGAGAAAAACAAAGTATGTTTGTACTGCCTCCTTTCTTCTCTTCAGAGTCTTTCCTTTTATCTTTTTTACCCTTTGTTTTGGTGATGGATTGGGTGCCGGATGAGGAGGAGTAATTAAGAATGCTGCATAAAATTAAAAGAATTGCCAAAGATTTGATTATAACAAAAACCAATCAATCTTTTCTTTTCTTCAGGACAACCATTCCCCATCCATCCCTTCAATTTCCTCAATCTCCATACTGCAACACAAGTAAAAAATGGAAACCATTACAACCAGGGGATAAAATGTGAACAATTAGGGTTACTATATCATTCACACAGGTGTAACAGTTGATGAAAAGATTGCCATTGAAGTGGTGAAAAAAAAATGGAAAGAAAGTGAAGAAAGAAACAGACAACGAACATGTAAACAAATCATTTTCAGCCATTTTAACCAATAAAATTATCTAGTAACTTAAGATAATTCTCTTGAATTAACAACATCAATTAATGTGAGAATATGATAAAAGGATTCAGGCGGTAGAGTTGGCCAGGATAGCTGCTAAGAACTTAGAATTGTAATCGAGAGTTGCGGCAAGACTTTCGGTGGGAACAATCTAAAATATATATATATATATATATATATATATATAAACAGTCTCTCCTCGTTCAGTTTGGATTTTTATTTTTAATAATTAAATTAAAATTGAGAATTCATACACAATGATTTTGGAAAAATAAGTACAATAGATTAAAAAGGTACTAATGTTTGTAAAAACATTTACACATGGAGATGGTAGATAATATCAAATCCATGTTCTCATTTACCCTTATCCACGGTAGGCAAAAATCAATTTGACTTGGTATTTTGGGAAATTGGATACTAATACCGCCAGGATGATCTCATCACGAAAGGCCCAAAGTAGATAAACAATGGAAGCATATGAATTGGTTTTTACGGATGAAAAATATTCAATGATCAACCAAGACAACACCTCAAAAGAAACACAGATGAGACAAACTATCTGTAACAAACTGCATCACATTGAGGTCAAACAATATTGATTCTCAAAAAGGACCTTTTCCCATTGTTTAATCAAAGAACTTAAGGCAAAAAAAAATGAAACCAAAATTATTTACCATGGCAAGGCAGGATCTTGCATGTAATCATCAGTGCAATAATCACTCAAATGTTGCTCCAAGCAACTCTCATTTGCATTCAACCAAGATGGGAATTCCATGACTTCATCAAATGGGTGATGCCCAAACTCCTCAGCCTTTTCCTCAGGATCAATTTCCATAGCCTTCAAGAACTTGAACCAGCATGCTGAAGTAACCAAATTCAAAGTATCATTCCATTCCATTTGATGCTGCTCCCCAATTGATCTAATCTCCGCCATCTCCTTATCATCCACTGCGTGATGCAAATCTGAATCTCCATAATTCATCATGCTTGATTCAGCATTAGCAGAAATTAATGGAGGAACCACCTCTTGTGATATTACTGCATCATTGCAGGGGACCTCAGCAGATAGAGGGGGTGATGAACTAGTTGATGAAGATGAGGTTGCTGAGAAGTTTGATGGGTTACTCATAGTTTGGTAAAAGCAGCTGTCTAATTTGTTGAAATCTTGAAGATTGAGATTCAAGCCTAATGTTTGATTTGGAAGAGCAAAATTGAGATTTTCTGGCAGAAGGGGTGGAGCAACTGGAGGCAGAGACCAAGGATAAGGGCTAGGATGATTATTTGGAGGACAAACAAAGGCAGAACATGGACTATTGTCTACATAATTTGTGAAATTGTTGGGAATCTGGGATGCATAAATTCTAGGATTCCTCCTAGATTTTGCTTTCCCTTCTTGTTCTGGAGCTAGTTGTTGAATTGGCTGCAGGGGTGGTTGCTGCTGCAATTCAGTTTCTTTGTGGTGGTGGTGGTGTTGCTGTTGCTGCTGCTGTTGTTTCATTGCAGCTCTATGACACTTGAGTGCTGTGACAATTTCCCTTCTAGCCTCAGCCATATTTAGAAGCCTCTCTTGGTAAGGCCTGCTGGTGTGGAGTCTCCTCCTCACCTGTTTTTTATGCTGTGGAGGCTGTTCATTTGGCTGAGATTGCTGTGTCTGATCACAAAAACCATCACCGTTTTTGTTGGTATGCTGGCCAGAAATCCCATCTCCGCCATCTAAGCATTGATGGCCTTTGGAGTTGAGTGGATCTTTGGTTCGTGTGGAGGTTAGTTGTTTCACAAGGCTGCGAATGTAAGCACCAGAGAGATGAGGCTCTTCTTTCTGTTGTTTATTATCAAGTTTACTATTGTCCACATCCAATCCTCCTACTTTACCACTTCCTTGCTTTGATGAAGATTTTCCCCTCATCTCTCTCTCTCTTTTCTCTTTCTTTGGTTTTCTGGGTTTTCCAGGGACTTTTATGTTAGATGGAAATGAAGAGGTGGTGGAATCTAGAAAGGAGGGCGGTTGTTTGAAACTTCATGCTCTTTTACACTTTCTGAAAGGCAAAGTACAGAATGCAGAGAGCAGAAGTCCTCATGGCTATTATAAATAGCTGCTGGAGACAGCCTAGGGGTTTTAAATATTTTTGGAATTTTCTCTCTTTAGGCAAACTACAAGGTTGTTTCAATTTTTTTTTTTTCTAATTATTTAGCCTTAAATTGGTTAGTTATACAGATAACTTATGTAATAGAAGCACTCACATTCCTCATCAAATTTACTAGTATAATCCATGGTTTCTTCCCCTCCTTATTTTAATCCTATCAGCAAAGCTGGAATTCTTCTACATTTGTTCTGACCTCTATCCACTTGATAGATTTCGGCAACTGACTAAATCTTATTTTAACCATCTCTACCCATCACAGCAATATTTGCCTACCTCATCAAACTAAAATACCAAATTGTCAAACCAACTATATAATCGTACTCCCTCCGTCCTATAATTATTATCCAGTTTGAGTTTTCATTTTTAGTTCAAATTGTACTAAAAGTGAAATCTTAAACTGGACAATAATTTTAAGACAGAGGGAGTATATGACCTCTATCTTAATTTTATATAGACCATATCTATTAATATAAGCTACATGCTGATTCGGTTGTGATTAGTGAGATCATTTCAACCTATTTGTTCTATCTGTAAAATTAAAATTTTAGACTATACTATCTTACGTAAACAGCGTAAATTTTCTCCAAGTTTTGGTGAATAATCATCATTGCTTAGCTCTCCTAAACCAGTAGTCTTGCCAATGCAGTTATTCTGTTCTGGAAATTATCTTTCCCATCAAGTCAAAGCTACATTGGTTACCTAAGAAGGTTTCATACTTTCTTGTGATCCCACAGATGTATCCTAGCAGAAAACTGTGAAGTTTATTCCAACAGAAGCCATCATATTCTTCAGTGAGGATGGTAAAATTTATGGTTAAAGACTTGAGAGAAATAAGATTAAGCACAATACATCCTTCCCTAACAGATAAAATCAGCCAAAAGCATATTTAAATGAACAAATTACACCACAAATGATTGAGTAACTCATTCTCAGACAGAGCTTATCTAAAGGGTTTTTCCTATTTGTTTGCGAGCTCATACAAATGGGACCAGATTCTGAGGGTGTCACCAAGAAAGCCATAGAAACTGACAGGAGAATCTTCATTACTGTTGCAACCTTCTGGTTGAATAAAGAAGTATGTTGATGATTATTAGTCCAATAAAGAATACAAAAGAAATAAAATAAGCATTGAAAATTGATCTTTTCCATTCAATTTCTTCAGAATTATTAGTCTGTTGATAAAACAGAGAACTTGGACCTTTTTGTAAGGTCACGTATAAAAGTACTGCCTATTAAGGACAGAAAGGCTCCATACCATCACCCCTTTCTTTCATTTTTTGCTATGACTTCTTCAAATACATAAATTTTGCAATACTAATAGGACGTGGCAGTGGCATGGCTTCTGAAACCATCTAGCAGAATGTTATGTCAGCAATAGATCGTTTAAAAAAAAATGTATGCATATCAGCTAAACAACTTGGAAGATACCAGTACTCCTCAGCAATAGTTACTTATTCATCCAAAATAATTACTAATCAATGAATCCAATAATTCAGTAATCTGATACAGTTTGAACAAGTTCTATCTTGTTGTGCACTTGGGAAGCATCAAGTAAATTTTTACAGTGCAACTGACCAAAATCTAATCCAATGCTAATAATGTTCTCAGTTGCTGCTGGCTGGAAACATCTTCTCATTGATGCAGAAATAATTAGTTGATGAGACATGAAATAAAGGGATGCTTCCTGCCTCTACCAAATTATAGCAGGTTACTAACTTGCTATTGCTCAAAGTTGCGGTTGATGCTGCAAACTGCAACCCTCTACCACTTGGCAATGTCCAATCAATCAGGCCTTTTTATGGGAAGTACTGTAGCACCAAACTTACATCTTATTCAACCAAAGGCTTCCTAACTTAATTCTTCTGTCTGAATGGTTCAAAGACAGAACACTAGTAAATTACTGCAAATCTAGCCGTTTAGGATGGCTATTGGTCATGCCATTTCCCCAAAAAGAACTTCTAGTTGAACAATTAAGGAGCCTGTATCCTTTCTTATTGAACCTTTTCAAAGCTATTCAAGTTTCACCTTACATGTATCTCGTTAATTACAAATAATGTTATTACAAAAAAAAAAAAAAAAAAATTGCAAATAATGTAGATCCTGTAAAACCATTAGAACGGGCCTAATGAAAAAGGCAAAGAAAAAGACTGGGGGAAAATAACACAGAACATAGAAAGACAGTGTTAATGAAAGCTTCGTGCAAGATTAGATAATTTAATCAATTTCTTCAACCACTCGATTATTAGTGGTTTTCAGGAGGCTGTGAATCTTAACATACAAAGTTCTTGACAATGCAACACTGCTACAATGCTCAGAGTCACAGTCAATGATTTAACAAGTTGTAAACTATTTTCAATCTTCTAGTATGAATTCAACTGTTATGTTTTGATACCAGTTGATCCTAACACTAATACGGTAAGCTTCCTCCATAACTGTATGATGAGCAAGTGCACATTTATTTTGGATTCACAGCCAGTTGTCCTATGTTGTATAGGATTCAGACCAATTACACTTTCATGTCCTTAAATTCTGCTCCTCAAAAGTATCAAATTGCAAATTAACACTGATCCTCATTTACACTGTATGGATTAATTTAGGTGACATTGCCCATTAAAGGGGTTCTAGGAGCTTAATTATCCAACAACTATCCAAATAACAATAAACCCTTTTAGTAGAAAGGCCAAATGTAGACTAATTGCAAAATTATACCATGTGACAATGAAAAGATTAAAGAAGGAAAACAATTGGAACCACTCAAATACTAAACAATTGAATCACACAAATACTAAAGAATGCACCTTGATGATATCATGATTCATAAGGAAGAGAAATGAGGATAAACATGAAAACATTATTCACAAAAAAAAAAAACACACTAACAAAGAATAATAATTGAAGCACAGAATAAACAATTGGGGGGAAAAAGGAGAAAGAGAAGGGGGGCTGACTGCATGCTTGCTGGCTGCTGTGGTAATTGTTGTGGATAACATCAAAGACAGCAGCAGCAGAAGCAGAATTGGCTTCTTTCTGATGAGGAAACCTGAATCCACCAATCCCCTTCATTTCCCAGGTGGGCTTTTCCTCTGCGGTTTTATATTTGACGAATGGCTTCGTTACAGCAAGAACCCATTACTCTTTTCAGGGACCAGAACACCAAAAAAAAAAAAAAAACTCCTTTTTTTTTCTGTCTTTCTCATTGGATTCCATTCACATTAACCCTTCTTTATTCACACCGCCACCGTTCGTGCATCTTCTTTTGTGTGTGTGTGTGTGTGTGTGTGTGTGTGTGTGTGTGGGGGGTGGGGAGGAAGAGATGACATATGACATTCACAATTCTTGCTCTGGAAACTACCCTTTTTCTTTTTTGGGGTGATCCCTTTGTTGGACTATTATTATTGATTGATTGTGGGATAACGATGAGATTGAGAATTTGAGATTGAAGATTGAGATGATGAAGATCAAGCTGTGTACTTTATTTTGAGAGGTGGAAATAGTAAAAGCATTTAATCCTAACTGATCTTTCTTAGTCAACTGTAAAGGTTGCAGTATACACTTGTTCACATAATAACAGTACTCTCTTTAGAGTCTAGTCTCTTCCCCACCACATATCTTCTTCACCAGAATTGAAGTACAGTTTTTCCAATTTCTTATTAGAGAGGATCTGTGAACAAAATAGCTTAACTGGTAAAAAATATCTTTTTTTTATTGAAAAAAAAACCTCATCTCTTCAACAAAAGATAACACTTTCATATTATTCTCAAACTAGTCCTCATTCGATTTTGATCTTAGACAGTCATGTCTTGTGATTTGTGTAACAACAATGCTTTGTTGATAGCAAAACTATGAAGATCGGGATTAGTTTGAATAAGATTGTCAATATCAGCTACAAAATGAAAATTGAACACTTTCTTCTATGACATACTGATATGGTTGAACCGGCCGTGATAAACTCATCTTATCACGGCCGAAGCAATGTAGTGTATTTCTGTCTTTTTTTGGTGCGTAATTCTTTTTGAGTTAGATAAAACTCACTAAATACGGCTACTAAGAAAAGTGTTCCAAGTCCTTCCTTCCCGTTTTACTTCTCATGTTCATGACTTCACCTTCTTATTTTTGTGAGTATTATGTACCAATAATGAGGTACTGTTGTAAAGTTATGGATGAAAAAATTGAAATCACATCAACGATAGAAGAAGCTTTGCAAATTAAAAAAATCCATAAAACATTGTTCATTAATAGTTTTCACATTTTGACATTTTGTACAATAAATTTTCTATAAATAACAAACGGAAGAATGTAGTTTGGTATACTAAGAGTATCTCCAATCATTCTACTATAATTTGCACCAATTTTAATGTAAAAATAAAATATTCCAAGAATCATTTTAGACCAAAGTTCTTTGATCTCCAATCTTTATGCACCATATGGTTAAAATATTTAATGTTTTAGGTCAGGTTTTATTTTGTGGTTAATTAAAATCTTGTAATTTGTTGGTAATTTTGTGAAATTTATTTTTTATATTCTTTTTTTATTTGATTGTAGTAGTATCATTTTTTTTTTAATTTTGTTTCATATTTAATTTTAATAATGACTTAAAATTAATTTTTAAAAAAATAAATTATATATTCAATATGGGTCTTATTTTGAAGATCTCTATAAAATATTTAATATGATATAATTTTCACAACATAATTCATTTTACAAATTCAATTAAATAGCAAGCATATATTTATAGTACTTAATTAAAGCAGCAAACAAAAAGTACATGTGTCAGCACCACAATGAAAATTTTCCCGCCAAAAGTTATTTTCAGTACAAAATCATTTTTGACACGTGGCACTCTAACTAATCAGAAGAAAAAAAAAGATAGAATAAATAAATACATAAATCTATTAATTATAGCTACATAAAAATATCTTAATTATAGGTATATACTAATCCCTTAAAACAACAATATTAGTTGATAAAATCAAATGTAAGAAAATTCTCTTAAATCAAGTGAAACACCAGTAATGTCTTCCTAATCCCCAATTTCAAAGAATCTCTTCCATTTCACTCCTCTCTCACACCTGGCCCTTTAAATCAATTACTTAAAATCTAACATCAATTATCAATCAATCCCTTTCTGCAACAGAGAAATAATAAGCTGTCATGAAAGAAATTTGATTTTTTAAGGATGATTTTTTTTTCTTCTGTTGTAGATATTGGTTTATGATTTATGTAAACCCGGGCATAAGTAACTGTTATAAATTAAATATTGTAAATTTGGGCATAAATTTATGTGTAATAACTCACTTTCTGCCTTTTCAATCGTTTTTTTATTCTTCTGATTTTTTATATTTTTTTAAGAATGATTCGTATTTTTTATTTAATCAATTTAAAAATACAGGCGACACCTCGGGCATTCGTCCGGGGCAAGCATCTAGTTTAGATGAAAGTAAAAGTTGTGCATTAAAAATAGTGTAATGGACAATTTACACCAAATCTGGTGTAACACTATCCATTACACCAAAATAGTGCAGTGATTTAGTGTCTTCGTTGGACTGCAATCTTTACACTAAAATACCAAATTTAGTGTTTTGGTGTCTTGGTTGAAGATGCTCTAAAAATTAACATGAAATAAACTTTATACTCCTTTGCTTCCTTTCTTCCTTCCAGTATTTTTCTTTCAATTGCAATTAATCACTTTTTTCCTCTCCTCCTAAACTTTATAGTTATTTCATAATATTTTAACTATTATTATAAGTTATTATATTAAAGTCTTTTGATAAAAAAATTATATAAATTAAATATATCATCCCCAAATTATTTATTAGAACTTTTGTTTGAAACATACAGGACATTAGTTTTCAAGGGTACAAGTAAATCAAAAAAAGAAAAATAAAAAATAGAACGATATATGAACATATTGTAACCCTTTTTTTTCCTTAGCTAATCTATGCGAGACTTCTACGAAGTCCCTTAAAAACTATTTACAGATACAATCACTTTAATACTAAGAAAATCACTTTTAATCTTCCCAATCACGATATTTCCAGAAGTGATGAGGAAAAAGAATCAAAATTCAAAGCCTTTTTTGTTTAGATAACTTAAACCTCCTCTTAGGACGTAGCGTCTCGAGTCCGACATGATAAAAAGTATATATATATATATATATATATATATATATATATATATATATAATTAGGCTAATTATAATAATCGTATGATTAATTAGGCTAATTAACAACCGTGGGATTACAATGAGGGTGCATCATAGATTAAATATACCTAAATACACCTGATTAAACTAAAAAAAAAATTGGAGAAATTGATTAATTTCGCCCAAAGCTTTAAGTGTCTAGCCAATTTGACCCGAAAAGATTTTTGCGAACCCAAATCCATCATCTAAGTTTCAATTTCTGGCCAATTTCATCCAATTGACAAAAATTCCGTTAGATTTAACACCTCCGCTAACATTCCATTACGGATAAAATGACGGTTGTACCCAAAGTTTTAACCGCGTCGTTAGTTTTACCCCATTGATTTTTGGTTAGCGTATTTCGTCATTTACGTTTGAAATTTTTGTCAATTTCATCCAATTGGCCCAATTTCCGTTAAACTAAGGGATTTCAGTTAATTTTTAACAAAAATATATCTCAATAGTATCAAAAAGTTATAAAAATAACCCCAAAATATGTAAAATCAACAACAAAACAATCTCTTTTCATTATTTATTTATTTATTTATTTTTATTTCATTTTATTTCTCTTTACTACTTTTTATAACCGTCAAAATATATTATAAGATCTTTAAAATAATAAGTATTTATTTTCAAACTCTATTTTTCATGTGCAAACATGTGAGTTTGGTTCAGAAGTAATTTTGTCATATTTTTAAAATTTTTAATTAATTTTTTATTTTTTTATTTACTATTCTTTTTCTTATACTTCTTGACTTGTATCTGTTGCTACTAGTATAATTACTAAATTTCATTAATTAATTTACTTTTTATTTCATAGATTATAAAAAAAGTTTAAAAACTAAAGAAAATGAGGAAGAAAAAGTCGAGTTGAGATAAATATGAAAATCGATAGGTTATCATTCTAAACAAAAAAAAAAAACTAAAAAAAAAAAAAACTGCTAAGACAAGTCTTTCCTCCTCGACTTATTGTAATTCATAGGTAAGTTACGAAATATGAATTTTACTCGATCTAGCCGAAAATGATTATTTTGTGTGTGATAGTAAAAATAATATAAAAATTAGATAATCATTTGAAATAGAAAAAAGTGCTAATTTATTTGGTCGACGACGATGAATTGTTTTAGATTTAGTTAACACAATTTTTTTTCTTTTTTAGTAATTGTTATTGTTACTTTACCGATGGCTAAATTATATAAGCAATCATTGAATTTCATGACAAAGATAAATACGTATATTTTTTAACGGCATAATTTTTAATATTTTTTTAAACCTCAAAATTGAATTACAAAAGGTAAATTTTTTTCTTGAAATATAGTAATTATACTAGTGCCAACATAGACAAGTCAGAGAGTACAAGAAGAAAATTGTTAAAACAAAAAAAATAAAACAAATTAAAATTTTTTAAAAAATATAAAAAGACAAAATTACCTCTAAACCCAACTCAAGGGTGTTGCACATGAAAAATATTTTTGAAAATAAATAATTATTTTTTAAAGATCATATAGTATATTTTGATGATTATGAAAAGTAGTCAATAGAAATAAAATGAAATAGATTCAAATGAATACAAGTGAAAAGGGGATATTTTGTTATTTTTACATTTTTTTAAGCAAGAAAAAGGATGAAAACGACGTTCAGGTTCCGGATAACTCAAAAAATATTTTGTGAGTTATCTTTATAATATTTTGAAACTATTGGGGTATTTTTTTTATTAAAAACTAACGGAGATCCGTTAAGTTTAACGGAAATTTGATCAATTAGATGAAATTGACAAAAATTTCAAACATAAAGGACAAAATTGGCTAATCAAAAATCAATGAGGTAAAATTGACGACGGGGTCAAAACGGTGTAACCGCTATTTTTTCTTTTTTCGTTACTTTGTATAATTTTTTAGAAAGAAGAAGGGGGGAAAAAGGAAAAATAAGTAAAATATTTTGTAATTTTTGTGGAACTGTAGAAAAGTGGCGGCGACGGAAATGCGGGTAGTGATGGAGGGAGGATTGTGTCCTGTTTGTGGTGATGGTTTGAAATCCTTACAGATTTAGAAAGTGGTGATAGTAATTTTTAGGAGAGAAGAGGAAAGGAGCGGTGGTGGTGCGGCAGCGGAAAACAAGTAAAAGAGGAAGAAAAGGAATAGGTTTAGGGTGGGAGCAATGAATTAGATTAGGAGATAAATTATGTAGTAGGAACGTTATAATAATTAAATGGTAAGATAAGCGTATGTTACTGAATAACAAAACATTACGGATAAAATGTTAAAATTTTAGGTCAACGAAGTTTTTTACCAATAAAAAATTGTATAAAGTAACAGAATGTCAGTGAAAATATTAAATCTAATAGAATTCTCATCAATTTGGATTAAATTGGCAAAAAAATTAAAATTTAGATGATGAATTTAGTTTCC